AGAGGGGAGCCTGAATAACCAACTATTGGCACACAGGCATGCATGTCCATGCACAAACACACACACTTTTATTCAGTGCTGTAGCTGTATGCCTCCCTGTGTCCTGTTCCAAATGTTTTTATGCTGCATTTGGCATCAAGTTGTTCTTTTCGGTTTTTGTCCCTATCAATAATAAAAATGAATAAATCGCAACAGGATGAATTTTTAAATAACAGAAATATAAAGCAACAAGTCATTTTTGCTTATTTGCAGACATAAAATGATAAAGAGAAAAAGATTTATTAATAACACATTATTTTATAAGAGCTTTCATGAAATATACGACAATCTAAAAGGCCTCATATTATTTCTGTTTTCTATTTCTATATTTTTGCTTTAATTGCATCATTTTGAAACAGCTCCCGAATTAAAGGTGGGAAAAGTGAAGAAGACAAAGAAAGGAGTTCAAATCTTTTAGTGTCTGATCTAAATCGTACTCATACCTATGCTTAAATCATTCTCAGCTAATCTTGCATCACACTGTTGTTTTTTAAGTGTGTGTGTGTGTGTGTGTGTGTGTGTGTGTGCATGTGATCTTGAAGGAGATGTGATGAAGAAGACTTTCTGACTTGGTAATATTAGACGCCTCGCCCCAGAGGCTCCCCCTTGACGAGCCTATGACGCACTTCCTGACAAGGTGGTAGCAGGCTGCGTATGAGGGGAGGAGAAAAGGATGGGGAGTGGGATGTGGGGTGGTGAGGACCGGCTAAATATATACCATCTGTGGAGATAGTGCTAAAAGCTGGCATGTGCGACCGATCATGCTTCCTGATTCGTGCATGAGGAGGATCCTGATTCTTTCTTCCGAACCAATCAGCGCCGATCCAGAGCTTTTTGTGTGCGTGTAGGTTGTTAGCCAGTCATCATGCAGAAGTGCGACATATAGAAAAGGATCGTTTAAGGTCTTGAACGCCATGCTGTGACTGATTTTGAAAATCTGTGCACACGCCCATGCTGGCGTTACGCAGAGAGCTGTCATTTATCACCATGGACAGCTCACGTGTGGATGTGTGTGGTTGTGTGTGATGCAGGAAGCCTGCGTAGAACCTGCAGAAAGTTATAGATCTATCTTTTTCTTTCCCAAACAAGGATAGTTCTCAACATGTTTTATTACTCATGAGGTTCAGAGTTTTATTTGTGATTCTCTGAGGACGATAAATTCCAATCATTCATAACTAAAGTGATCTTAAGTCGATATCTCACCCAAAGACTTGTGCTTTCTAATCATCCTGTGACTCAGAGTGGCTCGAGGCACAGTGTGCAAATCAGGAGCTTATTTATGAGCCACATAGGATTCAGGGGCCCGAGCACACCATGAGCACAGCCCTCTAGTCATTAAGGAGTGATTTTGGCATCCACTTCCCCTCCTCCCAGCCCCCACCCTTGTCTCCCTTGAGGCTTAAGAAGCACCTGCCCCCCAACCACATTTGAACAGTCATTTAAGATGCTGAACATATGCACACACATTCTCTCAATTTAGCGTCCGTGTTGTCAGACACACACACACCCACATGCTATATTTATATATGATGCAAATGAATGAGTTCAACTCATGAGAACATTTGAAGAGCGTCGTGATGACGCGTTTCTGTACAAACATTTGCATCAGTACGTAGGCAGCAGGGTAGATGCTACCTTGATTTTTCCCCCCTCTTTTGGTTGAGGAGAGGCAGTGACAGGTGAGGTGTTAATGTGGGATTGATGGGCACACAGGGTCTCGGGTCACCTCCCTCACTTGCACTGGGACAGAGTGACTGGTTCTGGCTGGTTGGCTGTGAGAAAATAGCATTTAGGGATGACTGCTGACACGTTTATTGAGCCTGTCGAATTAAAGGGTGCAATGAGCTGAGTTGGGACAAGGGTCACAATAACACATGCACGCACACACACACACACACACACACACACATGCACGCACACACACACACACACACACACACACACACACACACACACACACAGGGCCAGAGAACATGTTTTTTTGAATATCACCTGCTCCAGAAGTTGTCCATCAATCAGGCACTGATCTGTGTGTCACCTTGGGCTTTTCAGAGCTCCTGCAGAAACGTTTGACGTCAGTGAAGTTCTGAGACTGAATGTGGTCTGAATTTTACTTCACTGATTATGCTCTACACACAGTGCAGGAATCTACAAAACCAAAAAAAGGTAGACCTGTTTGTAAAACATTATATATATGTTTTTTTTATTTGGTCACCATTGCATAATTTTTAAAGTTGAACATTTTTCTTCTGTGTCTTAATTATCAGTTCTTATCAACAATAGATAACTTGCCATTACTATTTTTTCAGTATGACAGTACAAACCGCTTTTTGTCATAACAGAGAGGAGATGTTTTCCGTTTAAGAGACTAGTCCCTCTAGCTCTTTAAAGTAATTCTCAACAGTTCCGTAGGGCACATTTAGAGCTCTGTCATCTCGTTAAAAATTGACTTTAATACAACCTGACTGAACCATCTCTGGTACTTTGTTGAAACAGATAGGCCAGAATAAGTTCCCTGAATTCTAACAACCAGTCCTTCTACACACAGTTTGTGTTCAGAAATTAAGCAAAAGAAGATGGATTCTAATATGTGTTGTGTTCCATGCGTGGTTAAAATGGCTATGTTGTTGTTTTAAGTTTACCTTTAAAGCAGCCTGAAAATGGAGGACATAGTCCTTAATTAGTCTGGATCCTTTGCGCTTCAATTTTCTCTACCTCCAAGGGGCAGAGATTAAAATGCTTCTAGAAACAATAGGATGGACCGAAAACAAGTCAGAGCAATTAGCTAATCCAAATACCCAATTCCTATGGCTTCTTTTTGAATATGCTATACAGACGTTTGGCAAGACATATTTCATAACCAACATGAACAAGTGCCCTCTACTAACCCACCAGTTAACGCTCCACATTTGCAGCAGCTTTATTCTGTTATTTGTTTTCTTGTGATCGTGACTGAATGCTCTGTGACACATTATATTAAACTCAATTACACCTACAACATTTTAGACTAAATGTAGTGATCGGTCCAACCAGGGCCAGTGTATGCTTATTTAAAAATGATCACTATGCTGTAAATGAATACCTTTAACAATCTCTGAGAACTCTGTATTAGTTTACAGATCAGCAGAGGGTAAACGCAGCATCCCTTAATATTTGTTTTGTTCCATACCAGAAACTGAACGTAGTGATAGAAAACAATGTATTTGCTTATGACCTGTTGTCACTTTGATGCATTCAATGTTTTCCTATTGTATGTCAGTCAAGGTAGTTCATAATGATTGTTTAATTTAATTGTTCTTATGTTAATATGCAGTCACAATCAGTTAGGGAGATACAGTATACAGAGTAATACCTGTGTTTAGTTCTCTACAGTATCGCCACTGATGATTTTCTGAGAGAACTGAGTGCTAAAGCGTTATTGGAGTAGGAAGGGGTCGGCTCCTTAATCGAAATAACACCTCCAAATGGCTCAATAAGTGCTCCTCCTCCCTCTCATCTCCATTAAGAGGTTAGAACAGTCAATAGGTCCAGCAGAACACCGGGGACTCACCCTATTGATCACACTGACGGGGGAAGGAGGGCAGCCAGTAAGTGGCCACTTCCTGTGGCCTTGTAGGGGCAGCTAAAACTCCCTCTGCTGAAAGCCTTCCTGCATTATTTACTGATTTTAAATCACATTTTATTTGACTGATTCACCTTCTCTGTACCTGATGTTTATATTAATGTAATGTCATTGTTGTGTCTTGATAAGTAAGCTGTGAGAATTGCTTTCATAAGCTATAAAGGATTTGGCACCCTAATACGGCACTGCAATCCACACTCACAAAATAGATAAAGCTAGTCCAAGATTGACTGTTTCCAGGCCTCTTGTCTTGTAAATATCTCTTTCTGGCCTAAACTAAGTTTCAAAGTGTGTCGAGCTTTCGAGGCTTGCATTGGGATTGAATGTGGTATTGTTTTACCTGTTCTACCTACCTGTATACTGAAGGTACTTTTCTACCTTTTACCAGAGAAAAGGGTACCTTCGGTCTACAATCCAAATTAATTTGAAGCTCTAATTTTTTGTTGCTCAATGTCTGTTATGTATCCTTCCTTTAGAGAAACTGAAGGTCCTATTTGCTGAAGAAGTCAGGGAGCACAGAAAGTTGAATTTCATTTGTATTTAGAAAAAATATCATAAAAAATACTTATTGAAATGTATATTATCAGTCCAAACTGTTTGCTAATAATGTCACGTTATTCTAAGACAGGAGTTTTTTTCACCTAGTGTTATACAACTATACCTAGAGCTCAAATATTAAATGGTGCATTTAGCAGCTACGGGGCCTGAAATGTGTTTCTGGTGGCAGCGGAGACCAAAAACAGAGCAAAAAGGACCATTATGAAGTTACAGGCATCAAGTGACCACAGACACATCTTAAAATTAATGGTGATCTTGCTCCATAATTATACAATTGTTTCAACTTTAGAGCTGTCAATGTAATGGGGCGGTAGTAGCTCAGTCTGAAGGGACTTGGGTTGGGAACCGGAGCGTCGCCGGTTCAAGTCCGGAAATTGGCCTGGTAGCTGGAGAGGTGCCAGTCCAATTCCTAAGCACTGCTAAGGTGCCCTTGAGCAAGGCATCGAACCCCCCCCAACCAGCTCAGGAGCGCCCACTGTGGGCAGCCCCCTCACTCAGAAACCTCTTCATTAATGCATGTCCACAGGATCCTGTTTGTGCATGTGTGTGTATTTTGCATATGTGTGTACCTATTGACTGTTCATTCGACAGTGTAAAAACGAATTTCCCCTCGTGGGCTTAATAAAGTATAAGTATAGTTCTGTTAAAAATTGTATTCATTCTGAAATAGCAAAGCTGAAAAGCAATACTCTTCATTACATGTAATACAGTTCAAAACTGTCGTGCTTGTTTCATCACTTCCTCTTCTTTATTATTTGTATAAATACTCAGGATACACAGATTTGTTTACTTTTTTTAATAAAAAAAAGGATATAGAGTTTTTCATCTTGACATCAACAAACCTCTCAATTTACACAGCAAAAGAAGCCATTGAACCACACTGCAACTTTAGAGGCACAAAAACAGGAAACTTTGAACTACTTCAGGTTGCACATTTGTCATTTCTGAAAAATGCAGAATCACCTGCTCAGGTTTCTTCAAATATCATGACAGTGGGTTTTACAGGGGAGGGGTGAGGTACATGTGGTTAAGCAGGGCAAGAGGGGGTCCAGCCACAGAATGAGGGACATAAATTAAAGTAAAGACGGGAGGAGAAACGGGGAAAGAGAGAGAGAGAGAAATAGAGGGGAAGGAAACAGCAGCACAGTCAAACAAAAACACATAGAAGAGCGTCCGCCTCTCAGACAGAGCTCTTTATCATTCTCATCTGGTGAGCAGCCCTGTCACAAACTCTATGAAGACGTTTGTGTTGGACTCTATTACTATATTTTGTACATACATTTCTATATATTTTTTCTTTACAAGTGTTTAATTTCTACATTTCTTATCACAAAAACCACAACTTTTAAACAAATGCATAAAAAACAGTTACATGATGACTGTTCATGGCCAGAACTGTTACTATGGACTTATTGCTTTGTACATTGAGTATTGTGTGGTGCCACCTGCACACTGGGTGGTCCGCATGCTGGAACCTCACTGCTGATGGTCTGTACAGCCTTCAATATGTTTGACTTCCAGCTTAAACCGAACTCTGCTCGTCACCTTTGGTTGATTGTGCAAAGAAATTGAAGCATCAGTAACAGTTTCTGAGACGAAGACGAATAAGTCTGACAGAAAAGGAAACGACAACAAAAAACTGACATACATCAAATTTCACTTTGTTCCATGCATAAATACACATCCACACACATCTATATCGTGAAGTGCAGACAAGTCACATACGAAACACACTTGGCCCCCTTCAGACCTTGTCAGTGTAAGTGCAGAATGAGGACAAAACAGATTCTGCAGCCTTGTTTGTGTGTTCACTCGTCTTCCACACCAAGAGCAAGGCTTCAAAAAGTAAAGGCAGGTCGTTTCATTAAACATGAATCCATAAAATGTCTCATCTCACTTCAATGGAAATGGAGGAATGGAAGTTTGTCCAAATGGCAAACAGACTGTGATTGCTTCTCCTGCTGCATTGTCTCTATAACTATGAATAGTAATCTTGTGTTTTGATGTAAGAAATGCAAAGTATAGATTTTATGTAAACATTCAACTACTTTTCTTCTGAAATGCAATCTGACTCTTCTTTTAGTTTAAAGGCCCTGGCCGCCAATGTGCTTCTGATTTCAAACAGTGGATCCTGCATTGGTAGAAAGTGTGATATAACATATCGTTGTGCACCAATCAGAGTTAAGCATTTGGATCACAATCTGTTGATAACTGTCAAAACAAATCCTCACAGTCCTGATGAAGCATCCACTGAATTAAGAGATTGACCCAAAAACATTTTTTTCTACTTTAATTGTTCCTCTTTTCCCTGAATATCAGTGTTTCAGAGCAAAACTATGTTCTCCCAGGCTTTACCATGTGCATTATAACTCATCCTTCAATCACATACCCCCCCTCCCTCTTTAAAGATAATTAGGAGTACTACTCTATATATTAAGACTCGTATATCGATTTTGATTAGCATGTTCTTTAACACATTTTTTGCATTGCACAAACCCTTTCATTAGGTTGTTTACAACCATGAAAATCTTGGTAATCTAAATGTAATCACCAAGAACTCTGATGCATACAGTATCTATCCTCCAGTTATATTATTAGTAATCACTCTCATATTTTTTTTTATAAAGATATCTTTCAGCAGTGCTTTGGCACAGCCAGACCAGATGAGTGTTCTATGGAAAAAACAGCTTGACTTCTGCACTACACTTCTGAGATGTGACAGGTTGACAGGCTAAAATCTAACTGCAGAAGCAAACATTTGATTGGCATTTTGAACTTTTATGCAAGTGAAACCAAACAGTTAACACGATTCATTATGCCACTCGTCAAATCTCTACAGCAGGTCACTTACATGTTTTTACACACACACAGAAGCCGGTGATACAAAAAAAACAAAAATCATCATATTGTGCATTATGAGGACACACTACTCAGAGTGTACTCATGAGAGGTACAGTACAATCTATATCCACAGAGTGTCTACTTTCTGTTTACAATGCTGTGCAGTGACATTACACTGATGGCTGGCTGGTAGGACGTCTCACTGTTTTAAGTAACTTTCTAAAATAAGGGCTTGCTTCTAAATAACCCTAAAGGCTTCATTGAGGTCAGAAAGCCTTGGCTGATGGGATGAAAACGCTCACATTTACACACAATTGCACTCCCAATAAATATATCTAGTATCATTGTAATAATACATTTACAGACTGCCAATTTGATATGTGTTACACCTCTATTAATCAAATACCTTTGAGTTTTTTATACGATTTAGTCATTTTAACATTAAGTGGATACTTTTCTTGTTCTTTTTCAAATGTGCAAACAATACAACAATGGATCGTAGATTTTCTAGTTTCTCATTGGTTATTTGATTTTTTTTTTGATTTTTTTATGACTGAACAGATTCACACCAAGGGAAATAGGTCTACTCATGTGTCTGTGGATGTGTGTTTGGTCTAGGAGTATCCCTCGTCCTTCCTGTATCCGTAGTCGGCTCCCTGTGCTCCTTCCTGGACGTACTCCTCGGTCTTCTCCCAGCCTGAAGCCCAGCCTCCGTTCACCTGTGTGGTTGCACCGTACGACTTGGCTGGAGCTGCAAAGGCACCGTAACTTTGGGTAATATCGCCCGTCTCTTCCGCCAGCTCGTCCTCGTCTATGAAGCCACACTTTTCATCGCTGGTGAGTTCTGGGTCAGCCCACGGCTGTTTTTCTCCCGAGGCAAAAATACCGTAGAAGATCACTCCCCCATAATGCACCATTGAGGCAATCAGGAACACATACTGCCACTCCTCTCGAGTCTGAAGAGGCAAACAATAACATCTTTTACTTTAGGAAGTCAAACACTGAATGAAATGTTCCTGTTATCAACAAGTCCCATAAAATAACTTACATCAGTAACTTATCTAAAGCACAGTGGGCAGCATGTTCTTTCATTATCATAAACATAGTTCAGAACATCATGCTACCAAAGTACTTTCCAGCCCAGCCATTATTTATATATCTGCAGCTGAATCTAGACCTCAAGAAATTATGAATCCTCTCAAAATACAATATATATATATTTAACTCTGAGCTGCCATTGGCTAGAATTTGGGGGGGGGGGAGTTTTTTGTGAATTTGTTCTTTGTATTAAGATGCTTCCACAAAAAAATCTGTTAGGGTTTGTTTTGATTTCTGAGGAACGTGTGAACACCATGTACTTCAAAGATGAGTTGTATACAAAATATTTAAGCTACATACTGTATGTATACTATCACATTTACTCATTACTTATATACAATCACAAAGGAGGCAGCACCATAACTATAACAGGGACACTTTTAACTAACCGTAGCTGTCAATTGTAAATCATTACTCAATGAAAAGGACATTCACTGTATAACTGTCTCTGTATATTTAAAGATAGTCTTAAGTAGTATTATATACAACACAGGACACTGAGCGTGGGATTGAATGGATAAAGGAACTGCTGAGAACATGAAATGTTTTGTACATTATTCTAATAGCATTTGTCATCAACCCTTCATATGTAGCATTTATTTAGCAACATTCATTAATAAGAGCAGCTATTATGACTTTTATAAATAAGACTGATAGTGTCGTGCATCTTTTCTTTATACCTCAGCCTCTGTTTATGCACTACAGGCATTATGGTTATTGATTAATATTTCAATACATAATTATATCTGCTTAAAACTGCAGTGTAATTATAGTGCTGCACATCATTTCGTTTCTGTTTATTTACCAGGACGACTAAGATGAGCTGTTATTATTATATGTTCATTATTATTGTTTGTTGCACTCATGGAATAAGAGGATCTCGATATGGCTTTTTTTTCTTATTTTGTATCATGTTGGAAATAAATTAAATTAAATTCAGGTTTGGTGCCTCTGGGGGGGGGGGCTCTTACCTTGTTCTTTGTCATAGTACCAACAATCAGAGGGCACACCATCCCAGACAGGGTACCCACACCATTAGAGATACCCATCAGGATGCTGGCATAGCGTGGAGCGATGTCCAAGTGATTGACATTAAAGCCTGATGGAACAAAATATACAGAAGATATAAATATTGCTGATAGATTTGAACTTTGTGAATAAAAACTTGGCTCGGGAAGCTGATTTAATGCTGATTTAGTGATGAATATGGGGGAAACATTGTGACAGAACGTATTAGGAAACAGAACCAGGACACAGTTGTAGATAAAAGCGGCACAAATTATGACCATCTCTTTGCAGAAATAGGCAGCAACTCGCCGCACATCCTCCTCCTCCTCCCCCACTCTGACTGGGTGAATGAGTAAGTGTCCTTGCGAGCTGCCTCACACTGCCTGCCTCACAGATCCCCAGGGACAGCTAGCACTGAATTATTAAACACTCCAGGAGAAAGCTGAAGAACAACAGGCAAGAAAACTGATTTTGCACACAGTCACAGACCTCTGCATCCTTTGTAACTAAACATAAACATGGGATAATCTTTTGAATGTAGGGCAGAATAGAGCTGAAAGCTTTACTTTGACAGTCAGTGGAAGTCTTTTCCAAGTCATATCTTACATATAATGTCTTAAGAAAGGCTGTAGCTTTTAAACTAGTATCGGTTACTCTGATTGCTATTGTAACTATTAGGGGAAAAAAAACACTTCAACAACAGCTAGAAGAATCAGTCCTGCTGATAACTTCCTCTAAAACTACATCTTATATTTTTATAACATGTTGAAAGTAATGCTAACCATGCCCTGGTTGTAGCTTTATGTAAAGCACACATACAAGACTGGTATCAATCAGTATTTCCCAAACAAGTAAACCGTCTTCCTTAACTGCACTTTTTAGTTGTATTGTTTTCTTTCTTTGCTAGGTTGAGGCATCATTTCAGAACTGTGCCATAAAACCATACAGTGACACCAACAGTAGTTGGAAAAGGTGATTCACCATAATCATTAATTTTCCCTTGTAAATGTAGCTAACTAGCTCCTCTATTAGGCTCCTAAAAGCAAAAGGCCCTTCAGGCATAGGAAATATAAAGCCACGCTGTATCATGTCCAAAAGATTACACCCCTACTGAGATGACATTTAACTATTCTATTTTATATTCTAAATGACATCTTACTGGTTTTATTGTGTGTACTAACCTGATATAGCAAATCCGCTGAAGCCCACTGCCAGCACCAGGAAGGAGATTGCCATCCCTTTGCTGTGAGAATATCCAACCACCAGCAGCAACGTGGCCTCCATGCCAAATCCTAACAGAGACAGACAGCAGGTCACACACAGCCACACGTACACACAGAAATACACAAAGCCCACAGGCTGTTGATCATCACAGTGCCAATTGAATTAAGCCTGATGCACAGTCTACACTCAATTACACAAGTGACGGATACGAAATCAATGCATCGTCACAATTGTATTGTCCCTTAGTATTGAACAAATAGATTTTTTTTTACAAAAATATAAACACACCCATCTCTTAAACTGATCCAACAATGAAAAGCAACTGAAAGAGGGAGCAGTATGGATCCAACACTTTGAAAGTCACACCCTGTAGCTGTGCAGAGAGAGGTGTGGAAAATGAGATTTCACCCCGAGTTCAGTCTTCTCACCTCCACAGTTCATGATTTTCCTGACATTGGTGGTAGTCATGAGGTTCTTGCTGCGTAGGTAGTCGGCCAGCTGACCCCCGATGGGAACAATGATGGTCATGACCAAATGGGGCAGAGCAGACAGCATGCCGACCTATAGACGCAAACAAGACATCAACCATCAGCTGCAGTATTACGTGAACACAAAACATTTATTTAGACTTCTAGAAGATGTGTATTCTCATTCAGTTTAATGTATCAAGTACAGTACAATTTCTACCTTTTGTTTTAATATTCATCCATAAAAAACGATGCAGTGAATTGTGGCAAAGTCAGCTATTGACAGTACTTTGTTGTTCCAGTTAGGAACCTTTGAGGGCACTACAGCGGACATAGATTACACCCAGAATTTGGACACATCATGTAATCAGTTCATGAGAAGAGCCACAGGCCATCCATTTCACTGGCATTGATTCTTTTAATCAAGAGCAAATTGTCACATGCTAAGCTCTAAAACATCCGTGTTTTTCTCCTTAGTATTTCTAATCTATTGTCTGTCGATTACTTTGAGAAATCACAGTTTTAGTCCCCTGTTGGAGGACTTCAACATAAAGCTCACCTTGCTTATCTCAAAGCCAAACACTTCCTCAAAGTAAGCCGGTTGGCTGATCAGCAGCAGGTAAAACGTCCAGCTCCTGCAGAAGTTCGCTACGATGATTGCATAGACAGGCATAGAGGTGAAGAACTTCTTCCAGGGGGTCTTAAATTTCTGGAGCAGATCATAACATAGGAAAAAGTTGAAGAAACTGTAGCTTGCTGTTGTGTCTGCTAGTACTTTTTTAGAAAAACAGTGTACTGTAAACACAGACTATATTATAGATCTGATTTTGTTCGTCATTCTTAAGTGTCAGTCAGTTTCATATCCCCTCACCTCGGAAGGACCCATTAGCTTGGCACTCTCTCCGATGCTCTCCTCGATGTAGCAGCGCTCCTCATGAGTGATGGTAGGATGTACAGCAGGGCTCTCATAGGACACAAGCACCCAGAAAATGTACCAGAAGATACCGACACACCCTGCACATCACAGAAAAATAAAGTGTTACAACTAAAGATGATAATAGATTAAATACAGCAGCTCATTTGGAAGTAACAAGCTAGTGAATAAACCCACACATACACACACAGTATTTGGCTACCGGATCTTTACAACATGCCCGAGAGAATAAAACCCAGACAGGAACGCTAACTGTATTCAAACCAGAGAGAGGGATTTATGAGGGGTTAATTTATTGACACACCAAAACATCGAGGGGAGGAAATCAATACACAGTCTGCCTGGAAAAATCCATTTGACTTTCACTGGTCTCTCTGAGTGTCAAACTCTTCAGGTTTAAAGCAAGCTTGAAAACACCAAATCTCTCTCTCTATATGTAAATACATTTATCATCATTTCACCACAGAATTACACCTAATTTCCAATTACCCTCTGCAGCAATGCACACCAGATACACGCAGACATATCACACATAAACCCTCATCCATCAATCTTACCGTAGACATAGAACACAGAAGACCAGCCTGAGTACTGAACCAGGATCCCAGCCATAGGCATCGCTATCACAGCACCAGCATACGAGCCTGTCAGACAGCGAGACGTTTTAATCCAGAAAGTGAAATGCAACAAATTATGTTGCAAGCAGGCAGCACTTCAATTCTTAACCAAAATTTACAACGCCTTTAGAGAAACTTAAAAATGTATACATACCACAGAACGAGATGGTGGCCAAACGACTTCTCTCCAGAGGAGGGGCCCACTTACTCCAGATGCCATGACAGGCTGGGTATGTAACGCCCTAAACACACCATATCACAAAACACTGTATTATTTTCTCCAGGAACATGAAAAAAACAAGCAGCCCAAGACTGGGACACCATGTTTTTATGGTGTATTGTTTCAAGGAAAAAGTATTCCTGATAAATATTGTTTTAAAAATGTGTTCTATGAGATTGGTCTCTTCTATTCTATGTCAGCCTTTTTTAGCAACCCAACAGGTCATCCAGTGTTTTAAACTGATATTGTAAAATAAACAATAGGCCGCATGAAGTTATGAGTCGGCACCAATATTTGATTGATCCAACTCAGCAATATAAAGAATAATCGTTTGGGCAAAAGTGCCCCATTTTACATATCCATCTCAGGCATCATAAAAGCATCCTAATACTTACTAATTATGGTTATTCAAAAGGTCGTAGGATGTACAAACAATCGTTGACAGATACTGTTTTAGAAATTAACTTAAACAAACTGGTGTCTGATAATAACTAACAAAAATTAACATTTTCACCCCTGTAATTAACATGAGCAAATTACACAGTGCAACAAGCAGAGAGGACCTGATGAGCTGTTCGTGGAGCAAACCAACCCTCCAGCTATTAAATGGTTATCAGCTCCTAATTTGAAGAAAAAGTGTTGATGTAAAATTGCAGTCTGCATGGACTCTCTTTTCAAAGCAATGGCATCAGTTCTAAAGGAAGAAACTATTCTTCAACATCAGGTCTTGTTTATTCATCCCTGAAGTATGTTGCATCACATATGATGCTAGTCTGAGATGTAATCGCCCGTCATCATGTCAAAGCATTTGATGACTTTTCTCTGAAAACAATGAAATAAGATACCCAAATGATACCCAAATCAACTTTATCATACATCTAATTACATCCTTTCATTGGCCTATACAAGAACTGTAGTACCTACTCTCTGTTGTTTCATTTATTTTATATACAGCATAGAGAATCCTGTGTGTCATGTTTCACTATCAAGCCAGTGAATTGATCTGCTTTTGCCTTCAGCCTTTTTTCTTGTCATCTATCTGTGAACCAACACTCCTCTGTTGTGTTTACAGGATACAAAGTGTGACAGCAAAAAACGAGCTGGACTATCCAACAAACAATCAACTGTAGTGGACGGGATCAATACTTATCATCTCACATTTCCTCTTGTTTGTTTATTTAGTGCATGTAGTTGTATACAATTTACATCCCTTTGTATGTTTTATGACTGCAAAACACCAGCAGTTTATATTCATAATAACAGAATCTCACATCGGACATGATTTATGTTCTATGAGGACATATTGAGTGCTGGTTTTATTTTATCAAGACCGTGAATCAATGTCAGACTACGACCTGATTTTACTCAAGAAAAATAGAGTTTAAGATACCGTAATGCACCTTTAGATGTAAACATTTCCTTACCTCAACCAATCCTTGTAATATCCTCACAAAAATGACACACCCATAATGGACTCGAGCAGCCGCGGGAATGAACATGTTGAGAGTGGAGGTCAGAACGATGGCTGCTCCAAATACCCTGAAAAATTAGATGTATTTTAAATATAGCAACTCCCCCATAATTATTTAAACAGCACTGAAATTGGGTCATTAATAGGCTATCATTTAGCTTGGTGTCATGGTGAAAAGACTGGTGCTTTGAAATATTACATTAGATGGGAAAAATTGGCCTTGGGTTTTTTAATTATAGGCCTAGCCTACTTCACTCCAAGAATATTTAAACGTGTACATATTTTAAACAAAAAGACGACATGTCTCCTTATCTTTATCTCTTTTAAGAATAAAAAAAGCAGAAATCAGTAGGCTAATTTGTTTTCGTCACTGCACCAAATAGCATGCATTTGGACCATTTGGACCTGAACCACACGCCCGTTTCATACGTCATAGAAATTATTGTTTTAGAACAGGGATACTCACGTCGGTGCTTTGTCGTTGCTATAACAACCGTATTAGCAATCAATTTTTCATAAAGAATGACGTTTCATTTTGAAATGACGTTGTAGGAGGATAATAATGGATATGTAGCCTATACTGATTTTGTTTTCAATATTTAAAACATTTATTTAGTTACTGCATATGAGCTTAAAACGGTAGGCTATAGCCTAAATCTTCTGTCATTGGCTGCTAAAGGAAAACACCTTAAATAACAGAGGATGTAAGGAATATTTATTATTATATAATAATAACAGAGGATGTAAGGAATATTTATTATTATAATAATAACAGAGGGTGTAAGGAATATTTTGAATATGAAATAATCTTTGCTGAAATTTCGTCTAAAATTAAGCAAAGATCTATTTCTGTAATAAGATATTCAGCATGCGGGAGCAGCTGAGCATTTCAATCAGGCTCAGGGGAGGACCAGGTCGTCCATAAACACCGAGCTATTTCTCATTTCTGTCACGCTCTCCCGCCCCTCTCATCTGCACGCGGGGGGCAAGCCCTAATCCGGTTAGGACTACTGTTGGGCACGAGACCAATTGATTCGATTACTTCCGCGTGTCAATCAACAAAACAGGGATCAGAAAACAGGGGTGCAGATAAATGTAAAATAAAAAATTAGATCAACCTAAAATAAGATTCACAGGTAGGCAAACAGTCAATAATAGACAGCTCTGGTTGCATTTATTATTATGATATATTCAGAACATTTTGACGAAATATGTTTCCTTTTATTAGCCTATAGATTATCTGCGGCCTCTATTGCAGAGCATTATTAAACTAGCCCTAGCCTATAGGCTCTTTATCCAAAATGAACATGCTATGGTCACCCACTTCAAAATTGGGCAATATTTATGTAGACTATAGCCTATGTTTATTAATGTTGTTTTGGCCTTGCGTCAGCAATATTACGCCTCGGCTAATTATAACTGGTAACGCATTGGAAGTGCTCATGTGAATTAAAGCCTCTGGCGACATGACAGGGTCTGGTCTCCACGCCCAGATTAAACCAGATCCCCCGAGGGAGCTCATTAACAGGTGGCAGAGAGCCCTGAACCCGGGCTGCAGGCCTGCCAACCCGCTGCCTCCCCGTGGCTCTGCATCTCGGTCTGCCTGTCTGTCTGTCTGCTGCCTTTATGCAGGTTCCTCAGCCCTAAACAATGGATTCATACCATTCATAATACAGGCAAGGTGGCGCCATTTTTTTGTCTGGCCTCAGCTGTGTTTGATTGTATTTTTTACTTGACTGAATTTATTTCTGTCCCCATGTGCTTTCTCTTCTTGCGTATTATTATTATTTTTTTTTAAATGTAAAACAATAGGCTAGAGGATGAGGGCGAGAGGAATCTCTAGTCTTAGTCAAGTCTGGCCAACTGTTTAGTCATTCCGCCAAATGGGCCAAATATCTTAAATCGCAATGCTTCATCAGCCAGATGAACGCGTCTGTGTTGCAGGCCTTGTTTATTTGCGGAGCTTCATGGGGAGAGCCGCCTACCTGTTTGCTGCCAGCCTGGAGGAGATGTATCCTCCCGGGATCTGTGTCACGATGTAGCCCCAGAAAAAAGACCCGTGAATCAGCCCCACCGTCTCCGGGTCCCAGTTGAACTTTGCTTTCTGGATGAAAACAAAAGCAATACCTAAATAAACAACACTGGTTTTGATTAATTGTGAAATGTCCTTTTGTTTGAGACTAGGCTACAACATCATTTTTATTCAAGACTTACAGCACACCAAACGAAAAAGAAAAGAAAAGCCAACAATAGACTGAGCTAAAGGCAGGCCTGTTTATTTCTCCTGTTAACTACAGGCCTGTAACAGTTTGTTTCGATCAGACGATATTGATCTGATCATCAAAGCACTGTGTCCAGTCTTGTAGTTAAAGCACTGACTATCCTAAATGTGTTCAAATTAGGGTAATTCTGGTGTTTTCTATTCAGGTTGGTTACTGTCTGCTATTTTGGTCTTAAGAAATAGACTGAAGCTATCCAGTTGAATAGGCTATAGCCTTAAGACTATTAAATAGTCAAATGGGTTTTGCTTATTCATATAGCCTATTGGGACACATTGTAAGGCCACGTGCCCTTCAATTTTGCACAAATTCGCCCTTTATACAAACAGATTTTTTTTTCTAGAGCATTACAAAACAGATTTGAGATTTTCATGCAAGACACATACACCAAATCAATAGGCATATATGCAACATTGAACCAGTTATAATAATAGATGCTGATCCAAAATATTAGTTGTTTTTTTTAATTGGATTATTGCGCATTTGTGATTGCGCATTTTTAAATAGCCTCTTGAAAGTGTATAGGGGTTTTCATACGCGCAAATATTTGCTGTGATGTTTTAAAAGCTCTTAACCCATTCATCATTTGGGACTGGGTTAGATTTTGTATAAGTGATAAGCTACATTTATAATAAAAGGGACCTTTTGTATTCATAAATCGTGTGAGGAGAAATCCCTGTTCCCCTTTCGCCTTCTCTTTCTCTTACAAAAAAAAAAAAAAAGACTCAGGTGTCTTGCGTCTTGAGGCATGTAGGCTAGTCTACGTTGTTTCTACGTCAGCATCACTCGTCGTTGCCACACCTCAGTGATGATGATCTTGCCGTTCTGGTGGATGGTGCTGTTGTTGACCATGCCCACTATGGCCACGCCCAGGTTACACCGGATCCCGAAGGAGATGCAGAAGCCCAGGCCGCTCAGGATGGCGATGATGTAGCGACGCGGCAGACCGCAGCAGTTACAGTCACACAGAGGGGGTTTCTTCTCCGCGGCCTCCCGGGGCCTCCCGTCCTCCGTCAGCTCGATCACCTCCCCGGTCTTCTGCCTCCTCTCCATCACCCTGAGCAGCCGGGGAAGAACAGGGTCTAGCAAATGTCTCCTCATAAAAAAAATAAGATTTACCCTCCTAAAAACTAAACTGGGCTTCATGATGGAATGCATTTCTGAGGATGCCCATTTTCTATCTATTTGTAGGATCCTGACAATTCGTTACACACTGGATATGTGGTTGTGAATCTTTTTTTTTTTCCTTGTGTTTCAGTCAGGGAAATGTAGGAAGGAATTAAATCAGAATTGCCACAGTCTGATATCTGTGTGCTGAGGCCTCTGTGCTGTATTTCATGACTGCAGCCAGCAAATCAGCTTCAAGTCAGAAGGCCATCAGAATTAAAGTCATATATTTGCATGTGCCCTTAAAAATTCAAATGACAGGGGGGGTGGATTGGTGTGTGGAGCTGAGAACAGGCGAACACGTCCCTGACTGTACCGCATTGCAGCAGCTCGCTCACTTTCACACTCATTAGCATTCCCGGGACCGAGCAGCAGCTCCAGCATCCAGACACACACACACACACACACGCACACACACACACACACACACATATACTAACACACACCTACCCACCCACCCACACGTCTGTGGGTATTCCTCAAAGCCTTTTTCCTTTTTTTCTCTCCATGAGACTGATATTTTCTCATTCAAACCTGACTACTTAAAATCGGGCCACAACATTTAAAATCAGAGGATGGGGCTTTTTCTGTCTGCAAACGAATAAAAAAGCAACACTTACCAAGAAAACAATCGAATAAATATAAATACAGGCGCAGTATACGCAAGAGCCTGAATTTAAGAGGCATACGCTTGTGAAAATACCCAGCACCCATATTTTCTTTGAAACTAAAATGTAACCAAACGTTTGCTCACCATAATAGAATCAACATGCATTTTGTTAGATTAGATTAGATTTTCATTTTCAACTTAAAAGGAATAAAGCACTAGTAATATCCGAATAATGCTTGCATTGACGATGGATTCACCAAAGAATTATATAAATAAAACTGTAAATCTATTTTCTATTCAAAGTCTAAATTCAGATAGGCCTACTAACAATATGTTTCAGAAAGGAAATCAATAAAACACTGTCTTAGGAAACGACAGATGATTGGGTTTAAACCAGTCAGAAAAGGGAAGTGTTTTTTTGTTATTCGTGCGTCACTCTGCTCTGAAAATACTATGAATTGTGTTATAAATGATGAATGAATCCCTAAAATATCACGCGTGGCCTGCACGTCGTGCACAACCTGTCTGCTGATGAGATTCACATTCAGGCCCCACATCAGTATGGACCCTAACTCACGCACACACACACACACACACACACACACACACACACACACACACACACACACACACACACACACACACACACACACACACACTCCCCCACACATGGACTAGATTGCATAATTCCTCTTCACTTCTAGAGGCGTGACAAGAGATGCTGTAAGTTGTAAAACAGTTTTTAGTGACATGCTGTATCGTTAAAACCAATCATGCCAATCCTCCCACTTAAACACGAGGAAATCGGCACGTGCCATCAATGATATGGGAGTGTGAAGTGCGTGTCCTTACCTGTGCATATGACCCAGGGCCTTCCCTGCAAATTCCTTCACCCCTGCCGTTGCACTCATCTTCACAGACTCCATATCCAGTTTCTATATGTAGGCCTATTTCTCACTATTGTTTTACTGCTTATTCGTCATGTTACGGCGCAGGATGGCCGACCGCAGCGGCTTACAAGGAAAAACAAGAAACCAAGTTTTTACCGATCTGAGTCCAGGGAAGGCGACGATTCCGAAAGAACGAGTTTAGGTCTCTCAATAAAAAGTGGCAACGCGGAAAAACCTTAGCGGTAATGAATCAAACGAGATGTGCGCCTTCATCAGCCACCGACTCCTCTCCTGCCTCGCGTACAGGAGCCGCGCGCAGTGCCATCACGACGAAAACAAAAAGGAAGAGGGGTTAGTAGCCAGCCTCGTAATGGAGCCGTGAGTCCGCAACAAAGAGAAGGAGAGAGAGGACGAATGGAGACATGAAAAAATAAAACAAGTTTAAAAGGCAGCAGTGGGTGTTTGAAGTGGCCTCAGTGAATCAAAGAGGGAGTGAGGCTGGATCGTGTCTCCTGTGGTGAGCGCAGGTTCATCTGACGTCGTGTTCAGCACCGAGGTCAGCGACAGCAGCTCGGCGTGCAACATCTGCATAGCTGTCCAGAGCGACTGCAGACCAAAGTGAAAATATAAAACGAAATCATGAATATATGAGGTTTTTTTTCTGTTGTGAATTTCATACAAAAGTGAGGTGGGGGAAATATTAGGGGAAAGTGTTTCAAACCATCGCTTTATTATGAGACTAAAGTATTAGTTTTATCCCCACAGCACTATTTCGATAATTAATTTCGACGTTGCGCTTTTATGCATTTAAAGTATATTTAAAAAAAACAAGGACTGTTATTGCCACTTATGATAGCAGTAGCTCTCCTGGGGGCGGTGCTATGGAAACGAAACGAGCAGGAGTGGATTTCCCCCCAACAAGCTCCTCTCCTAAGAAGAAAAAAAAAACGAAGGCTCCTTTCCTCAATGTAGGAATCCATTAATAATTGATGTCTTCCTCATAGGCTAATATCTCCTTTGATAAACACAAGTTCACACACCAGAAAGAGCAAAGATTTGCAAGGTTTTTTAGATTGGTAGGCCTCTAACAATTTTCAAGAATCTGATAGCTCTAGGCCTATTTCAAACGAGCATTTGCATACCACTTCGAGCCAAAAATGGTAGTATAATGTTTGTGATAAGTCATGAAATAATAAGAAAGGTGATAATAATATTTTTTATCTATAGAGCGTAGATGTGCGCGATTACAGGACAAAAGAGAGAAAAGAAAGGCGATGGGCATGTTTCTTGTCATTTGTTAGTATGGGGCACCATCTGGTGGTCACATATGACAATGTGCTCAAAAGTTCTCAGGTGGCATTATTCTGAGCTAATTTGCGTTGAATTCTTTTGTGTTTGTGCCGTATCGTATTTTGATCATACAAATATATTTGCAGGCGTTTTAGTGTGTAAGTTATTTGTAAAAGCATTGTCTTTGTTGTAGCTTACTTTGTGAAACTCTTTCTGATCTCAATAGCTGTTCACAAAAAAATGCTCTGACGGTAAAAAAAAAAAAGATGACATTTTTTAAAACGGCATGTATTTCTGTTACATTTGCCTGCAATTAGTCAATTGTATCTGTTCGAATGAAATTATTGGATGGCCTACCTGTGTGTCTACATAACTTACTGTTTACCTGCACGCCCTCTAGTCTTTCTCTCAATGCGCATGCGCAGAGTCTTCCTGACCTGAATGTCAGGAAAAGGTCTGTTTATAATGTAAAAAGAAAAGCCTCATTCAAAACAGAAGCTCTTCCTTCTAAATGATACCTCATAGACTTGTAACTGTGTTTGAGAGGCATTTACAAATCTGGGATACCTACAATTTTAACAAATATATATTTTCTTGCTAGGTTCTCCAAAGTTCCCTACCCCAGCAGGAAGTTTGTCTTCAAAGTCCTTATTCAATCTCAGTTTTACATCTTGTTTCTTCACTGTGATATTTGAGCTACACAGCTTGATGTAGGTGCAGAGTTTGACACTAAAGTCTGTTTCCACTTTAATGTTTGGCAGGATGAAAGCTCCCCTGTTCTCAACTCTTCTCAAGAGTGTAGTACAGACAGGATTTTATGACATCTAGTGGAGGAAGTACGCCAATCCTTTGCTCCAATAAGAGATGCCAGCTTATTATACATAAAATATCTAAAGTATAAGCAGACCTACTATTAGACCTAAAAACTTTATCATCATGGTTGTATTACGGGAAAGTACATGTAAGAGAATAGTTGTAGTTCATCAATGTGCAGCTGAATTTAGAAACTGAAAGAGTCACTTTTAGGTAATACAGCAGACACATCCATTTGTCCAACCTTTAAATAAACAATGTTTGCATTTTACTCAATTCAATTAAAATCTTTTTCATTTTTTTCAACAACCTATTTGTAAAGGATCTTTGAGTTTGGGGAGAGGGCACAGTATTCACAACTTTCTCAACCATGTCAGTAATATCTATTTTACTTTAAAGGTGCACTATGTAGATTTGGTTGTGAAATTTGAAAATTAAAGTGAAACAATTCTAGGCTATATTTCTGAACTAAATACACAACATTTATTCAAAGTTAGAAATTGAGCCCTGGAACACTGTTTGGAGCTAAAAAGCCAGCAGGAAAGTTACGCTTTTACTGCTGCGGGCCCCCGACCTTAACTTCTCGCGTAGCATTTTATCTTCAAACATTGTTACAGGGGCCAAATTTTCCTCTGAGGACAGTTTGTGTATGGAGTTATGAACATATACCACATAATCTGTACATTTCTCCAACTTTCACATTTCTCTACCAAAACATCATGCACCTTTTAAATATCTGGTTTTACGCTAGTGTCAACACGTCATATTGTATATGTGAAAAATGAAACTCACATTAATATAAGATATTTCTTCATTTATTGGGAGTATTAGCTTTAGTGCATTTCTGTACATTAGGCTACAGCTCACTTCAAATGTAACCAACAAAATATTTACACGACTGCAACTCATGCACATTAAAACAAGGCAAAACCACTAAAATGCAATGAGCAGCAGCAGCAGCAACACATGTTATGAACCAGGTACAGAGTTCAGATAGGAAACTTTGTGTTTAGAAAATTATACAAAAGTAAGTAAACCCTGGCAGTTAAGGTATTTGTTTGTTGGGAAAGCATCATGCACCATGATGGATCACCATCTGAATCCCCCTTCACTCATCACAGCATCCGCAGCCGTTATTTACCAGTGATGCTCAACAAACTTTAGAAGATGTTTTAATCCTGAGATTGACGTCAGCCAGGTTTAGTCAAATATAATCTGCCGAGGGCTCGAATGAGTTCAGCCGCATTTGCAGTTTAAATTACAAATAGGTTTCAATAGAAACACAGAAAGATTTAAATACACACTAAGCGTAAGAAGATAAAAAATAGCAATAGTGGACATCCCTTGAAAAAGTAATTTCTAGCATCAAATGTTCTCGCACAGTTCATACTTTTAGTCAGGGTTCACTGTCTGAGCTTACACTTACACTAAATATGTTCCTCATGAGTAACAGGCTATAGAATAAGCACATTGCTTAGAAAGATCTTCAAAGGAGGGTTATGTAGTAACTTACACACATGTTTTGAGCTACAGAGCAGAAACAGATTAATAAATGAACTGTGTTACAACTCTTTTAAATAGAAGACAATAATCTGTAAATGTACAGAAAAAACAAAACCAGCCAGAAAGTCACTCAAATCCTTCCTCACATTATCCAAACACAGAACGAGGATTGAATGTTATGATTATATGCCTATAATAGACAGAGACATCACTAACCTGACATCTGAGAACTGAGACATTATGCAGTTAACGATACCAAATGAGGTGTACATTTAGCTTAACACATAACTACTAATTGCATTAAAGCTGGATATCTATGGAGAGCTTTTCAAACATGTCCTTCATGTTCCTTTCTTTTTTTTTTTAAAGTAAAACTGCTATAATTGATCATGAAACAAGTTGGAGATCTCAAATTCATGGAGAAACATTAAACATCCAATTGTTACAGTCTCACTGCGGTATGATGGAGGTACTTGGTTCTCAAATGCACAGTTTTATAAGAGTGTTTCCCTAAACGTAGTACACAAAAAATAACAAAACGTATAACCTTATAGCCCAGCTACAGATCTACAGGAATGTTTAGAGAAATAAGCACTGCCTAAGGTTTCAATATTTCAACGTGTTTCATATTTGATGTTTGTAAAACTTGTTAAGTCTGAGAGTTTTCTACAATGAGTTAAACGATGATACTGAAATGTGATGTAGGACATCTATTCTCAAAGTTATGTTAGTTTCTCTAACCACAATCATCATCAAACATTTTCTACGACTGACATATAACTTCTTGTCGACACATTTGAATCCTTCTTCTCTCACTTGAAGAATCACATGCAAAAAATAAAATATGACATCTTAACCAAATCATTTAAAGGTTAATAACACTTGGGTTCACATGATTAACATCGTAAACTTGAACTTTCAGTATGTAACATGTTAATTTTTATTTTCAGCCATGACCAACGGACAGTTTGAAGGGAATGTTTCAAGCTGCACATAAAATCTTTTCTAATCTTTTTCTATTGCACAGAAGTTTCTCTTTCAACCTGATGCTTCTAAACGGCTCCTAATATAGGAGTCCATTCAGTAACAAAACATCAAAGCGTTCGTTTTCCACAGACGGGAGCCCTTGTTGTGAATGTCCTCGTGTGAATCGGGGGCTACAGGCACTCAGACAGCACTTCATGCTTGTCTGTCATGGAGGTCATTTCTGACTGTGGCTCTGTGATGAAACTGGCACTCAGCTGGATTTTCAGCCTCTCCACCTCGTAGTTATGCAGATACTCTTGAATCAGGTAGCGTTCCCGTTTGATCCGAGCCTTCACTTCCGAGGGGATGTCAGGGATCATCCACGCCACGAAGAACTTCACCACGAAGACCACATGCTGCAGGGAAAGAATGAGTCATTATAGTAACGTCATAATCAGTCTCCTACATTTATTCTAAGCATTTGTTTTTCAGTAATAAGCAGTGAATATATGGGCTGTCTTACTTCCATGATAATGATGAAGGCCATTTTAGCTGCCAGGATGTGCCAGAACTGCATGGTGTGATTGTACTCCCTCTCATGGCCCGGAGGGTAACGGTAGTCACGGTATCTGTTCAAAAACACAAGAAGAGGGGCATCAAAAAGTTAGTAATGAATCATTAATTAAAATCAATAAACAAAATGTGCTGGAGCTAGTACACATCAATAAATACTGTGCAACTACAAAACCTCTGACAGCTATATATAACTGTGCAGGAAATATTATAGATTAATATCGATAATTAATGGATATAAATATGATTTAAACTCTTGGTAAACACAAACAGCCATCACAGAGGCACTGAGAGACAGACAGGTGAGAGTCTGTAAGTGAGTCAGGGAGAATTCAGCTGAAAAGAGTCTAGCAGCAAACTTCTCTGTAAACTTGATCTATTAATGATATAGATTAAAAACCTAAAGGGATAAAGAGTGTTAATGGCTGTTTAAATCTCCAGAATATGAAAATGTCATTCAGAGAATTCACCTAATGTTTTATTGTAAAAGATCATTGAATACCTTTTGTTTGTTTTACTTTACATAGACACTTCCACCATATAAATTATGGCTTAAAACTAAAGTAGAATACAGGTAACAAAGTGTTTGATTTTCAAAATGTTTAGTGGTGATTCACTTGAGTGAGCATGAGAGATGGTCATGTAACCTGCGGCAGTTTTTAATATTTTGTTGTAACAAAAATCTATTTAACAGTCAGGTTTTGTTAAAATATAAATAAATAAAATTTTTAAATCAAAGACATTTTCCTTTTACTGTCAATAATAGAGCTTTAAAGACAGAAAATCGGTATTGGCAGGTCAGACCAAGGTAAAATTTGTGAATGGGAATTGTCCAGAGAAATTGCAATTGGTGCATCTCTAGTTCTAAACATCTCAAATTCTTGAGTCAAAGGAAAGATGATTATTTACATTTTTTCAGGAAAACAGTGACTGATATATCATTTTTTTATTGCATAATGATGTAAAAACCTTTACGATGAAGGTACTTGAAGAAGTGTTTTGTACTTTTGTTGTAACTAAACATCAGCTCCTCCAAAGTTATATTAGTTTGTCAGAATCTGTCAAAGAAAGGTCTTTGATTGGTTACAGGACTTTAGATTCTCATAATTTAAATATTGAATCTGCTCTTGGACTGTATTGTGATAATGACTGAGGTTCTTTTAAATATTAGTCGTATTCAATCATCTTCTGAGGGAAACATGTGGCTCTTTAGGTGCTAAATGCTAGCTAGCCCCTTAGTTTTTGAGTCTGTCTGTTTCTGCTATATTTCTCTCTAAACTACAGTGATACAGAAGTTACCTCCTGTATCATTATAGTCATCCAATCAGATGTCCATATAAAAGCATTAAAAAGTGTAACTTTAAAGATGCATAAACGCTCTCTGAGCTCTATTACCTGCAGGTGCTGGTGGAGTTCACAAACCAGTGGTCTTTCTCCTCCGGCATGTTGTCCTCTGATATCTGTGTGATGTTGTATATTGACAGGCTGTTGTTAATGTAGCCTCTCATGCTTGCATCTTCACCGTAAGCGTACAGGTAGACCATTCGGGGGATCATGTCGGAGGTGAACGCCATAATGAAAGCCTGCGGGAAAAAAGTGAACAAAAGAAGCTGTTAGTGAAATGTTTTCAGAAATATAGCACATCAAAGGGTTAGATGATGCGTGACGTATGTTTGGATTTATCTGATCATAGTTTACCACACTGCTATAAGTAACGATGCATTCAGTGACACATTCTCTCTCAGCTCAAACAACTCTCTGAATGCTACCGATGAAACGAGCACACACTTCTACACATACAGCAACACTCACATTGGTAACAACAGACAAAATAGCCACTGCGTTGAGGATTTCCTGCCACGCTCCAATGTTGCGGGCCTTGGATGCTACGGGTCGTCTGAACTGGGTGGTGAACTTCCAGGCGTCCACCCTGATCTCAAGGATGTTGTTGAATAGAGCCAATAGGGGAGCCAGGGGGAACGAGGCCACGAACAGAGTGATGAAACCGAACTGGATCACTGGAACGACACACAGAGCGGAGCATACTGGGTAAGTGATAATTACCATACAGCCAATATCATCTTTCTCTCCTTGTGAGACATAAAATCAGTGTTAAAAATGTGCTCAGTTGGGGTGCTGGTGGCGCAGTGGTTAGTGCGCGCGCCCCTTGTATGGAGGCTGTAGTCCTTCAAGCGGGCGGCCCGGGTTCAAATCGGCCTGTGGCTCCTATCCATGTCATTCCTCACACTCTCTCTCTCCATGATTTCCAGCCCTATCCAATGTCCTATCTCTCCAATAAAGTCACAAAATGCCCTAAAAAGCTCAGTAAAGCATCTCACCCATCTCAAGGTACTCGTAGAACAATCCCAGCTGGCCGAAGTTCTGAAGAACGTGGTCCTGCTCCCAGCGGCTGTAGTGGTTCTCAGGATTGTGCCGCCCCTTTCGGCTGCTCCACCAGTTACGCATCAACCTGTCAGGAAGCCCATGAAGAAGAAACAGATGTCAAACTGCTCCGATTCAGGATTTGCACAAAGCCAAGGAGACATTAACAGAGAGAGCTGACAGTGATATGACTATCCAGGAAATGAAAAAGTGAATGCAGGTCTGCAGTGTGACTGTCTCAATCAGACCTAAAAACACAGACCACTTTAATATAAAACTGTATAAGAATATACTTAGGCGTGAACAAGAGCATTAAAGTATGTTGTGCCATAAAGGTAACTTTCTCATGGGAACAGGATGTATATTTTATGGACATAATAGATGTATCAGATGTGTACAACTTCTTTAAAAGTGCAAGTTGGGATAGCTGTCGAGTATTTCTATTTTATATCACATTCTCTCTAGTTTGTCATAAAGTATCTCCAAGTAACGACCGGGTCTCTGCTTGTATCTCAGCCATTTGGTCAAAAGATTTCACATCTGAAGTCGTCAATACACAAAAAAATACACACAACAAATGGCTCCAACTTGTGCTATATGTACCTGGTGTAGTGTTATTTGATATACCTCTTATACCTCTTAATCTAGACGACGATTAAATAATTATTCAATCTTGTTAATCTTCCTTTTGACCATGTAAATATCAGTGATCTTAGGTGCTGTCAGACAAGGTTTAAATAATTAAATTTCTAATCCAAATCTGTTCTTTAAAGGTCTTGATTTTAAATAAAAATTAGAAAGAAAGACAACGACTATGTCCCTATTTAAGGGCTGCATCCATCAGAGGGCGCATTTAAAGACCAATTACGTCACAGCTGCGCATCAAAGGCTGTCCCACTTCAAAGGCTGCTTCAGATGCATCCTACTTTCCTCGGCCAACTTTGACCCATCTGGTGCATCCTACGTGGCCGAACATATCCTGAGATTCATTGTGCCCCAATTCAATCCAAGCAGACTCACGATAAATACGTTTAAGTAACTGGTTTCATCTATTGTAAGTCCAAACGGCTACCATTTCTAATGATTAAGAAAACAAAATAAGGACTTGAAACTGGAAATGATCTTCAAAAGAATTGATTAAGTTTTGTGACATTATTTCTGTCGTTAGTTCTGGTGCAGAGTTGATGTTGCTAGGGGACAAAAGGGAACAGAAGGGTAAGGGCGGGGACAGCTACACTAATGGGGACTCATCTGTATACAAGACGGTCTCATTCCAGTGAGAGGTCTACGCAGCCTTCAGAGGCCTTCAAAGGATGCTTCCAACTGAATTGGGGCACAGGGTAAAGAGTTGATGGACTCACGGCAGCAGGGCTTCCTGAATGTTTCCCCACAGTTGTTTCCCCGCCATAACGATCACCAGCTGTGTAGTCAGCTCGATCAGACATCCTCCAGGGTCACACTGGGACAGCAAGAGGATTTTTAGTGGCAGTTATGTTAGAAGTAAGGGCATGCACCTGACAGTTTTATTGGGAATGTTTACATAAATACATGTCGGTTCAGTACATAAACTAACTTTAATCAACATTGTATTTTTAAGAAGTTTTTCAGTGAGAAAAACCCACCTCCTCATTCCTCAGTTTGCCAAACATGTATGAGTATTCTCCGGGATAGCCCACAAATTTCCCTTTGAAGAAGGCCACATAGAAACACGAGGAGTAATAGTTCACAAACTGAAATAGGAACATCTTCATGGTCAGCCTGTTCTCATATTCCAGATGAGTCTTTGGGATTTCTGCAAGAAGAAAAAAAACATTCTTCCTGTTAGCTACAATAAAAAAATAAACAGATAGTAGTGCAGTAAAATGAGTTAACACGTTTTCTGAACAGTAAAGGGCAATGTGACACAAAAAAACAATAAGGATCAGAAAAAAAATGAATTCATGCGCTGTTGCTGCTAGATGTGATGCAGAGAATCAAAAATAACACCAGAAGGGAATGCGTTCTGGAAATGTTACAAAGACAAGAAGAGATAGGAGAATCCAGGTCTCTGTCAAGAGAGTTGTCGCCTTTTGGAGGCAAATTTGATTCATACTTTGATGTAAGTAAAAGATCAATTTGATCCCATCCCCATGATAAGGATAACGGTTAGGACTAATCAAACTTCAGAATCCCCATCACTACGGATACTAATGCCATGTAAACCTGGATGGATTCTGATTGGCTGTCAGTGTTTCTATCACTCATCAAATTGCTCTAAAGATGATTCAAACTGTTCATCATTTTCTCCTGTTGTAAAATTTGAGAAATGGAGTCAGTATCCACTTGCTCTTTTAAAGATTTAAAAGAAAACGTAATCATAGGTATCGTGTTTGATATTGCTTTTGGTTTCTCCTTGGTTCTGTTTTCTTTCAGTCAAGAATTGTCAGGTCAAATCGTCTTACCCATATCAGTGATCCAAACGGCTACCCTCTCGTAGAAGAAGTTGAGGATCATGATGATGACAAAGTTGATGCAGGAGGCGGTGACAGAAGTCGCCAGCTGTGGGGTGATGAATCTTCCCACCAGCTGGATCTTCCTCAAGGGGTCTTTAATGATACTTGCAAAGGCAGCATACACAGCGAGCCTGTACGCGATGACCCCGATTATACAGGCCACTATCAGAGACATCTGTGGAGAGACACACACAGATATATAAATGTTGTATATGACAAGACATGGAAAACCCCTCAATTTGTATTGTTCTAAATAGCAAGACAGAGTTTGGTTACCCAGAATAAGACGGTGGTTGCTGAGAGGCAGAAGCGAGCACACTTGCTGGTGATGGGAAGATACGGCTCCATTTCCTAAAGGATCAGTCCATAGGATTAATATAAATTATTCTCGAGTACGTAATATTTGTCATATTTATTTTCAAGTTTGAATTTTTTTTTTTTTGCATCACCTGTGTGATCTTGTTGAGTCTCTTCTTGTTGCAGCGAAACTCAAACTCGGGCCGGATTTGAAGCTGTTGTTGCTCCTCCTCAAAGTCCACCAAGTCCCACTCGTACTCCAGCCGGGCCTGACGTCGTTTCCAGAACTCCAAAAACAGAGTTACTGTTGGAGAGGAGTGAATAATGGAGACAGAAGATGTATAATCTGAGTTTGAGAATCACATCTAACTAATAGATGTTGTTGTACAAAGAGAAGTTAGTCCTACGCTGTGCAGTCGTTGGCTTTTGGACGGATCTTTAACTTGTTGTGACTTTGCACTGACTGAAAACAAAGAGTTGGTTGTGTGTGGAGTGTGATGTGTTTATAATGACTTTCCATGACTCTGCTTGGCTCATAGCTGAACATGAGGCCAGGTTTTTATGCATGGTTTTTATGTATTTTTATGTCTTGGCCCCAAAGTGTAAACTGTGTTTGTGAGTTGTTCTGGGCGGAAGCATTATAAAAATCTGTCCATCAAGAGGGAGGGGGCTAAGTGGGGTCTCAAACACAGGTTAAACACAGCATGAGTAAGAGCATCGATTGACACTTACCCCAAATCCCCATGAATATGGCGAAGAATACAGTTCCCTCATTATCGAACAGATGGGATTGCTAGAAGAAAAAATATGGAAAAGATTAAGTTTCCCTGAGATGTAGAAGCATGCTGGGAGTCAACACGGTGGCATGCTGCGGACACACCACGATAGAGTTTACAGCAGATATACTGGTTAACGATTTATTTCAAACATCTAACGTATAGTTATTATTTTAAGGTAACTGCTGTTTTTAAAATAGTTTCAAATGAACACATGAGATGTAATGTTTTACCCAAGAGGAGAGACAGGTAGAGCTGAGCTTCCAGAAAGGGCACTTTTTATCACAGAGTGGACACATCACAATACTGCCTCCAACAGCTGGGTCACATATTTCTTTGCTAAATGGAGGAAAACAGGACAAAGATATTAACGCTTCAGTATATCCATTTATGATCAAGATTGGACAGACCATCAGTGAATACCAAAATCTTGTTGAAAAAGTTTAAAAGAGGGAACAGTTGATAAGGCCAAAAGTAGGTAGGTAGATACACATATCCATATTAACCTGTGAGTGCTAGGTATCGGAAACGCTGACGCAACAATATACAATGTTGAAATGGAAAAAGAAAACACTACATGAATGATCCAGCATGTGCTCTTTAGTTAGTGCTCTATAGGAGGGTGACAGTAAAATGAAAATAAAAAAGAAGCAGAAAATCCAGGGAGTCTTGCATGACATTAAATGATGCAGAAAACAATGTAAAAAAAAAAAAACAGATTTGCCATCTTCAGGAGGTAGAGTGCTCTTAAATAGTCTATTAAATACGAGACATGGCTTACATGTTTACCAAAAATCTCAAGGCCTAGTACATATTACATTTTTTATAACTGAAGTGTGACTAAAGTCGAAGTTTTCATTTAAAACAATATCAGCCTTCTGCATAAGTAGGATCAATGAAGAAGTGGTTCCCTTTGTTTGGTGTGGAAAAAACTTGATAGGCCTGCATAAAGCCCTGACTGCAACCACTTCTAACACTTTAAGGGTGAACTTGTTTGCAGACCGTGAGCCACGCCTTATTGCTATATCACTGATGCCCTTCTGTCTGTAGACAAACTATGCAGAAAATCTCTACATCAAAGATGCAAAATCTAAGTTGAGATTTCCCACAAGGATCATAGTTGTTATTGCAGCGTATGAATGATGTGTTTTGACATTTCTACATTCTTTACAGGTATTTTTTTTTACATCCATTCATGTCATTTGGGCACTTTATCGACCAGCTCCCCCGCTGCCCTCTGGTGTTACTAACCTGGATATGTTGTCATCGTAGCTGAGCAATCCATAAATGAAGCATATAAGGCCCATGACAGCGGCAACAAACAACATCTCCGTGTAGAAGCCAAGCCAGGCGAAGTAGATCCCAATCTTCTCCCCGTAGTACTTCCTGCCAACGCAGAATCAAAACAGCAAAGTTCACGAAAAAATGTTTAAACCCTGTGGAAACAAATAAGAAGACTTGCAGCTTTGCTTGTTTACCTGATAAGGTTAAGAGGCTGCTCTTTGTAGAAGCAGAGAAACCTGGCCCAGTGCTGGTACAAGTTGTAGCGCTCGCTCTCACACTCGGCATTTCTGGCTCTTTTCCAATATCGACACTGAAGTTAAAAGAACAACAACAATATGTGCAGTTTGGTAAAAGATCTTAAAAAATGAAAGATATTTCCAAAATGTTTTACTATTCCTTCAACCCTTCCTTAATATTGACATTTAACACTGTGCAACAAAACATCATTAGTGAACGATAAATACATTTAAAGTTCTTATATAAGTCCTTATATCATTGCTCTCAGCATGAAAATGCTCAAGTGATATGAATGTACTTCTTAAGTCCTCACCTAATGCACTGACCGTTTGCAATCCGACTCAGTGCTACATAACCACTTTACCTAAGTATAAATCACAGCTGTAGCAGAAGCTCTAGTTGTAGTTGTAGAAGTTTTTTTCATATGAACAGAATAACAATGTTGTGTCTGGTCCAGGAAGCATTGATTCTGAGTACTTGAAATGCAACTGGGTCACTGATTCTGAGTACAACTATAGTATGCAGCACATCATAAATCTTGAATATCAAGTCTTAACCTGCAAGCATAGCTGGGCTCAGCTTTGTCCCTTTGTTATGATGTGTATATGTACATATGTTTGGTCTCTGCATATTTCTGCTCCTTCTTCCATGTGTCTTACATCATGTAGTGGAAATGCTGCCGTATACGTCCCATTGCTGATTAGTCGCTTGATTCCGGTTTTTTCTTTCTCTTTCTGGCCCTCTTTATAGTACGGGCAACGAGCCAGGATGTAGAACACCTAAGAAAAACAAAAGGTGGAATTAAACTAGATAATAACACGTGTGGTTTATATATTTGCACTGGCCTTTTTTCACCGCCTTAAATGAACCTTGACATTTACAAATACATCTTCAAAGTCTCCAAGTGTCACCCTGCAACTGGTGTACAGATTTTTTGGTTTCACATATTAACAATCTGATCAGTAACTTGTGATTTTAGATGAAGTCATACTCACGATTCTGTTTCTCGTGAAGGTGGGAAGAAGGTGTCCTTGTCACTGATGAGAAAGAAGTCTGTCTTGTTCTTGTCAAAGGGGTAGGTGAAGTAGTCCGGGGTCGGGTGCATGATGTGCTCTGGCAGGCGGAAAGGATGTGAGAGCCATTCGAGAGGGACATCCTGACCATGGGGGATATCGCTCTCTTTGAAGGGAACTTTGATCTTTAACACATCAGCATAGGTGGCCAGTATATCCCATGGAGCATGAATCTTCAGGAAGTATGTCCTCTGGTCTTTGGAGTCCTGATGAACGTTAAAACACAGGAGGGGAAAAACCCTGTTTAAAATATTTCAATGTATGACAATATAAGCATGCCTATTACTGAGCCATCCCTTTAAGACATGTTTCTATCATACAGGATGTGCCTGAGCGAACAATCCCCTAGGTGGAGCAAGTGCCCTGATTTTGAATTTCTTACTGATTTGTCATCCATCTCCAGCTCCAGTCCTGCTTTCTCAAGGTTGGCCTCAAATTCCTTCCTCCTTTCCTGAGGATAAAAAAGCAAACAGAGAGCATGAGAGCCAGGCACACACTGATACATGAATAAAAAAAAGAAAATGCTCTGGTTGTATCAGTAACCAACAAATATACAGGAGAGAGGGATCATGTACTGTACATTCATAATCCATAGACAAGATCAAAAGAGAGATAAAACACAGCACTCCCTCTCTACCCTACAGTTAGACAAAAAACTGAACACATAAGAGACTGCTTCAAAAAAACGTCATTTATATTATAAATGTCACATATAAAACATTTTTTTTAAATGTAATTCAAGCAAATTATCAGATGTTTAAAGGCAGTTTATTCCACAATTATTGTCTCTTGAAAATGAACAGAGCCTTCCTCAAACACAAGTGTTATCCTTCTGACATCTTTGTGACGCTTATATTGTGACAAGAAAATAGAAAATAAAAATTAGATTTACTTTCAGAATGTGAACATCCCTCCATCCTATACGAAGGTACAACACTTTTTACACTTCAAATAAGGTCAAAGACAATGAGCTGCTTTTTGTTACTACAAGCAAACATAAAAGTGTGAAAAATATGATGATGGACAACAAATTCCACTTAAGTTCTCTTTCAAGGAATATAGTTCTTAGTAATATTTTAACAACTGCATAGCTGCAAAGGAGTCATTGATCAAAATCAAACAAGAGGATGGCATTTGTTTTCTTACAAAACTCTGTGTCCTTCTTTCCCCAGACACCTCCACTTATCAGCCTATTTAAAAACATATTTCTGGTCAGTTGTGTCATGCATTTATGGAAAAAAGAATCTGTATCTCACTTCCTCTTTGTAGCCATGTTGTGGATATAGATTGTGTAATAACGTCACCAGTGTAACAATGAGTCACCGGCAGCAGTGTAACATGCTGAGTAGTCATCTAACAGCAACTTGTAACTTTTCTGTTACACGTACCTGTTTCTTCTCTCCATCTTTGTCATCGACATAAGACAACACAAAGTCTATTCGTCGAACTCCGTCCCTGAAGAACACTGTGTCTTTGTTTGGCTGTAGCCTGTCTGTCTGAATCAGAACACAAAACATGAAGAATTTAGGTTGCTGACAGAGTGGGAAGCAAAAGCAAACACATACGCAGTCCTGGGACATTAGACACTGGCAGGGCAAGAAGTGATTCTTACAGAATGGTGCAAAGTTTAAGACTGACACGTGCAGAATTAGATAAATGGAGACACACATTGTGTCCTAAAAATTGTAGCAGACTGTTTCTAAGGATCAGACTTTCACTTGTCGGTGCATGAGAAAAGTAATTTTAGAGAAAGTTTAACCATCTGAAGAACCACATAAAACAGTTGAATCTGGACACTGTACAGTCACAGCCTGTCATTAAACTAAAATAGTCGATGGTGGAGGAGAAACATGGTCAACATTTTCTACATCAACTTCTGAATGTCAGTCATGGCCTTAACTCATTCTTTGACATAGGTTACGTCAGCCATTTGTGTAAAAAAGACTTGTATTGACACCTCTTACAGTAATTGTTATTTTAGAAAAGAAACGACAACTTCAGCTGTTAGTAACATCCAGCTATTAACATTTATTTATCTCGTCTTAACTACCTGATAAAAACCTCTCTTTGACAAAGTGCTTAAAGGCATGTGATACACTGTTATAGTTATTAACAATATACAGTGGAAGTATTTAATGCTGTTAAAAATAATGTGGATAAATACATCAATATGTTAGTTAACCCACCAGGAATCAAGATACTGCTGAAATATTTCAGATAGAGATCAAATATTTCTTTAAAGTGACAAAAACTTTTGTCAAACTTTAAAACATATTCTAACATATAGTTCAAATTCTGATTCATTCTAAATTGAGTTACAATATCAAAAGTTATTTAAAAATGGCAGCTAATCTATTCTTTAAAATGTATTGTAAGAGCCAAAATAGAGTATTCTTATACTGTACTGCCATGTTGCTGTTGTGTTTTACATTGACTGTGGGTGTCACTGTAAGAATAACAGCTCAGGTATAAATTGAAGGAAGACAGTGTCTAGGTCAGGTGTGTGATCCCAGAAAGACAAACGTTTTTTGACCACTCAAGCACTAGGTTTGCTGTCATTGTAAGGTTGGGCTATTTTGTTTTGCATTTTTATGGGCTTTTATTGACTTCGTTGGGCCTTTTGGATTAATAAACAAAATGTTCGGCAATCCGGTCTGGCTGCCAATAGCTGATTGCAAACTGGCACAGCCCGTCAGCCATGCCATTCCTGGATCTGGCATCTCAGTAGTTCGGTACTAGACTGACCTCCTTATACATGTATAGTTTTATTAAGTTGTTCATATCAATATACACCTTTGACATAACATTAAAACAGTGCACTTTACATTTTCCAGGTGGAAATCATCTTGCATCATGCTAACTACTGAATACTTAGCAGACTAAACTAAACATCGCAGAAAAAGTAAGGAAATTTGTGATTTTTTCTTTGTTGTAACAATGCTTCTTGTCAACAAATCTTACACCGTTGGAAAGCCTGTTTTTATTTCCCTTCTAAATGGTGCCACATTTGTAAGGAACATGCATTGTGGGATAAGCAGCAGAGCTGAGTATGTGGGTTGCGAACATGAAAAACTTGCCAAATCTTCTCTGCCAATTCCAAACAGCTTACTCTGCTGTTGCAATTGTTTTAAGCTTCTGATACCCCAGGTGCTGACAATCAGTTGCCTGATTGCCGCCTGATTGGCAGCACCTGTGAGCATGGGCCCTGGACCAAGTTGCAGCATTATTTGGAGTGAGCCCTTACTCCATCTCCAAACTGAAGGTCAAGTTGGGCATCCCAAGGAGACGACACCCCAAGTGGACCGTATCCTAACCCTATCAGCACTTAGGAACCGTAAGCAGTCTTCTACAGATTTGCGGTCAACGTCTGCAGGACGATATGGCCAACGGCTCTCTACCCAGACAATCCGGAACAGACTGCACGTAGCCAATCTCCAGTCTCATAAGGCTGCCAGTAGGCCTGCCATGACTGCCCTTCACTTTCAGGCCCATTTGCGCTGGTGTCGGCAACACTTGCTCTGGAACCTGAACATGTGGAGGAATGTTATGTTCAGCGATGAGCTCAGATTCTGCCTCCGGCAGTTGGATCGTACGGTCACACTATGGAGAAGACGCGGAGAACGCTCTGCTGATTGCTGCACAGACAGGGTAACAGTTTATGGTTGAGTTGAGTGGTTGAGTTTTCCCTCACTGGAAAAACCAGGCTTGTCATCATTGAAGGTAATCTCAATGCAGACAGATATGGAGATGAGATTCTGCAACCAGTGGCAATCCCATATCTCCACAGTCTGGAAGCAAACTCTATCCTCCAAGATGACAATGCTTGCCCCCACAGAGCAGGATTTATGAAAGACTACCTCTACAATTTGGAGTGGAGAGGATGGAATGGCCTGCCTGCAATCCTGACCTCAACCCCATTGAACACTTGTGGGATCAGCTTGGGCGCGCTGTTCATGCCAACACAACCACATTGTCTGACTTGTGACAAATGCTGGTTGGAGAGAGGTATGCCATCCCACAGTAGTTGTGGCCAGCCTGAGAGGAGATGCCTGGCTGTGTATGTTTCTTCCACATGCTACTGAAGCTTAAGTTTGTTAAATTAATAAATTGTTAAATTGCCAATATGTCTTGTTTGTTCAGACTTCAATCATCCAATCCACTAAACGACACCAAAGCAGTCAACAGCAGAATAAGCTATTTTGCATTGTCGAAGAAGATTGGCAAGTTTTTTATTGACGCAACCCACATACTCAGCTCTGCTGCTCATCCCACAAATGCATGTTCCTTTTACATGTGGCACCATTCAAAAGGGAAATAAACAGGCTTTCCAACGGTATAAGATTTAATGCCAAGAAGCATTGTGACAACAAAGAAATAATCAACCAAACACACACTTCCTTACTTTGTGTGCAATATTTATAAAGGTTCAACCACAGCATGAAGTTCCCAGTATTTTCAGTTGTTTATTGAACCACACCCAGCTTGTTTATCAGACCCTTACATCGTAGCAGGGGTGTTATACTGTTATTTAATCATCTTTTGTAATATAACCAGATAATATTAAAATAATATGATCAGTCTTAGGAATTAAGACAGATGAAACATCCGCTGGTTGTATCTTGCTGTCTGAGAAATCAGAGGAACTGTTAGTGACTCAGAGGTCTTATGATTCAGCAACGAGAGCGATAGAGAGTCAACAGTCTTTTGGCTACAGAGAAAATAAAAACAGCATGGGCTCTACAACAAACACAACCTCAATGAACTGTTCCAGAAAACTGTGTAATAGTTTCACATTTCTTTTTAAATTCTTGCAGGTAGATCCAAACCACTCCTACATCAGTATTGTAATTGTAAAGCTACAACCAGTGCCTAATTATCCTAGCTTGAAAGATAGGAAATCAATTGAGCTCTTGTCAATGACATAAAGTTGCCAAGCAACCAGCTGAGAAACAGGAAGTCATTGCATTACACTAATGCGATATAAGGTGTAGTGAGCTCTAGAAGGATTCTTGATATAATCATGCATATTCACTCAGAGTCAGACAGAACCAGGATATCTGTATCTCTGTTTCAGTCTTTATGCTGAGCTAAACTAACTGCTTGTGAGTTGTAGCTCCATATGCACCGTACAGACGAAAGAGTTGAACAAACCTTCTCATCCAACCTGAAGAAAAATCAAGACTTACTTCTGCATGTCCAGGAAGAATCACTCTTTCTGATAATGAAACACCATTTCCACTGTTTTCATCTGAAAGAGAAAGAAAAAGAGAAATTAAACACAATATTGCCTTATTCAACATTGCCTGTTGAGTAAACCAGAACTGAAGCATAATTAGGTTTCATACGATTGAGTACAGTTACAAAACTGATTTAAAAGAAGCACGATTATTTTCCATTTTGAAGTTGTGTTGAAGGGTTGTGTTGAGAGAATTTACGTTTCGTCAAAACTTTTGTTTGGATTGTTACAGAAGATCAGGCCATGCATTTTAAAGTCCTAATCCTTGAAGATTTTGGTTTTATGTTTTATGACTTTAATTGTGTCTTTGCATTTTCATAAATCACTTCTTCTGTGTTTGTTTTTATAAAAGAATCATTAAGGTATTTTTAACTAACCATCAAATAATTGAGACCTCCTTTATGGTTTTGCCTGTGGTCTTAAAGTGTGTTAAAGAGTCATGTTATCAGTCAAGATATAAGCTCAGTCTCAGATGGCTAAAGGTCGGGAGTATCTGATCTGAAATCCTTCAGACTCAGTGACTGTATGCACACAAACAAAAGATTATGTAGAAATGTTTGTGTTCACAAAGTTTCAGATTTTGCGTAAGAGAGATTTCTCTGACAAAAAGATCATCCATTTCACCTTCCTGTTTACATCTACCAAACAAAGTAAAACACATTTTTAAAAGAAGTTTAATGATTATAATTCAGTATGTGCTACAGATATAAAAGACTAATTTAAATGCAAACCCAGCACAGACAGGACAGTATTAATAAAAACATCAACAATGGAGTAGACGTTGTTCTCCTCTTGTCCCACCACAGTTTTGATCGAGGCTATATTAAGCTCTGTTTATATCCATGCAGGATACGTGGTATGCAGGATAATAATAAGCCTCCCTCCGAACCAAACCATCCCTTTAAGAGTAATCAGCTGCCCAGCAATTGTTATGGCCTCTCATGCATCTCAGACAAACTCTCCTTAACAAGAGCCCCATACAAATCCTGCAGGCTCTTGGCATCATCAGCCGATACAGACTCTTGCCATATTGAAAAGCATTTATATGAGCTGAGAGAGAGCAGTGGACACACATACATACACACAGACTCCTTCATCTCTAATACAATGACACACAACATTCCAGCACGGACTCCCCTCACATAGCAGACTGTGCAGGGAATGTGCTATGCACGCTGCTCTGTTAATCCCGAATGGTGGGAAAGCAACACTTCCTGTGGGGGAGGCTAAATTGTGCACCATGACACGTCAGTGGGGGGAGGGGGGGCCCAGGGGAGGGGCTGGGGTTGCTTCTGTACCAGAAGTCTCACCGCCACACAAGTCAGTACACACAAAGGACACAAAGATCTCCAGCCTCCTTTAGCTTCCACACAGGATCCTCCTGATTAGACCCAATGATCTGACCAACAGCAGAGCGAGCCAATCAGAGAGGGTCTGTGGTGTCTCTGTGTCTCCATGTGGAAGCTCACTGAAAGGCCAGGACACTCATCAGAAAGGAATGGAAATATAAAAGTAAGATCATATGAATCCCTAAGGTATTCAAATGACATAGTGGGGTTTGTCGGCCTGTGCGAAGCACTATTTATTGTGCAGCTATATTTGTCTTTTTTCTTCATGCAGTTTTTCTCTCTCCCTCTCCTTTTATGTCTCACTTTTTTTTGGGTCTTACTCCAACTGTGTGCAGCCAGTTATCAGAGCCGGGCTTAAGCAAACATAGGCAAGGGGCCAGCAGTATGTTGTATCTATTTCAACAGAGAGAAAAATAAATGAAGAAACAGGGTCATGCACATGCTGTGGAGACTAGCTTTTATGAAAGTGAGCACACTTGGGCATAAATGTTTATTCACTAAAAATAACTACTGTATATTCATGTCACAGAGTTATTAATTCATGCAAAATTACCTTGAACACTGTTGCTTTCCAGGGTGCAAATGAGCTAAATCACAACTTATCTAAAACTGACTCTAATGCCTTTCCTTACACTTTCCACCCAGACACCCTAATTACACTTCAGCAGCTCTCTATTTACAGCAGCTGAGATACTCTCTTGTGAACATTCCCAGAAGCAGAATGCCAACTTACTGAGGAAATATACCAGTTAACCTCCAATACACTCTGACTCAAAGTGACACTTTTAACCACCAACTAAGTAGCATCCCAAATGATTCCTCATGTGGTTAAAAATAAAGCTACTTTTTATTTGTAACCAAAGTTTAGAGTATCCTCATTCACTTTGCTTTTAATCCCATGATATACATTTTTCAACATTATTTTCTATTGATTCAAACTCATAAATGCAAGCCTGAAAACCTAAACTGGAGCAGAACTACACAAGCCATCCATCATGCCTTTGGGCCAGTGAGGCTCAGCAACGGACACAATCAACTCTCTGTGGAAGTGAAAGAAACAGCATTTCCTCGAGTGTCCACTTGAGGCTGGCTGTAAAAGCCCCTGTGTTAAAAATGCCATTTGACAGCAGAAATGAACGTGTTTACAGACTGGTTCAAAAAAAAGTTTGGGTCTGACTAGCTTATGTGTTTGTCGGCAAAAACTATACAGGGTCAATTTGTTTATATCGCATCCGTTTAGATTATATTAGGGCTTAGCGTTCTGCATAGTTAGGGACGTGGCTGGTCTCACTGACAGGCGGGTGCATTGTAGCTGTTAGCCGGGAGACTTATGGCATGCCTCAGCTCCACCTCTTTGTCTGTTACTACGTTTACCAAATGGGTAGTGTGAGGCATTATGTCCAAAGTTGGGACTGCCATCTATAACCTTCAAAAAGTCTGCTTCAGAAACAAATGGGTGACGTCACTGAGACTACGTCCACATTTCTAGAACAGAGTGGTGGGAGTTTGAAGGCCAGTAAGACTGAATTCACTTTTAGACCTGAGATGATCATTTTACAAGAGAATGACTTCAGTAATTTGTCTGCCCTTCTAGAGACCAACACTACAGTGCATCCCTTATTATGTTCCTTAGTTTGAGTTATTTATTAGAAATACTCTCCTTTAAGTCGGCTATTCTTGATGTGTCATATTGTAGGAGCACCTTTTCAAGGACAAAATCATGGCGGAGGGCACACTTGAAATATGTAATGCAAACTGAACTCCCAACAGTGGGTATTGAAGCCCTTCAGAACAACTTGTATAGCCAAGGAGAAATAAGCTTGGAAACAGGTAATAATATCCATGACTACTTCATAAAATGAGCATTCTCTTACGTAATCCAGAACAGGAAATGCTGACCCCCGGTTTTCCACTTTTAAATCAACCCGACAGACAGAAATAAAAGCCAAGAATACCTTCTGTAAAAGCTTTGTAAAAGTTCTGTATCCCACTCATCAAGCAGTAAAAAAAAAGCTTTCTTTTATCTTACCCCTCTTCACATTTAATCTTCTCTTAAAGTGAGGAACCTGTTGGAGGACACCCAGGGATATTCCCATCCTTTTCAAGTCGAGGTCAGACCAGTGAAGTAAAACATGTGAAAACAGGAATTTAATTTCTGCTTCTCTTCCACTAGCCTGATCATTTGAGGCCTCACTCTAAGTGATTAAAAAAATAAATCAGCGTAGGTTTTCTACAGTGCAGGCCAACAGCACATCAGAACAGGAGGCCACTTGTGCCAATGTGCTGATCCTGCAGAGAGAACAAAAACAGCAGAGGTGGTGCATTCTCTCTGTATGGAAACAAATCCAATACTCCCCGACTAAACCATGCCAAAGCCTGATACGCTACAACCTGATGAGGTTTCCATTCACTTTCATAATGATTGCCTCTGGCCACAAACAGGACTCTCATTTCTGGACTCCTTGAACTCTGGCATTCCATTTATTTCATTTTCGTGTTTGTAACCTTCAGGAGAGCTGCCCACAGACTGTAAGTGTATCCAAAAGTGAGTCATCAAAACAAATGTTATGAAAGGAAACCTGCATCTCAAACTCTGAACCAACATCCAGGGTCTAGTGTTTGTCTGACGGGAGAATGTAAAAGGATATTTAAGCCACCAAACTACCCACACACATATACACAACTACACACAAGCACAAAAAAATTCAGCTTGAATCATTCATTGCATCACAATGCTTGAATATCTAAAAACAATAGTACATCAGCAATTGATTGAATGATTGCTCGGAGTATTTATTGACATGCACTACATGTAGAGTGTCTTAAGATAACTTTTAGGGATATTTTGCACTTCATAAAGAAAATTGTATTCTTATTAATTTGACAGCTATATTAAAATATGACGAGCACACAAAATATATTGCATTCATAGATAAATCTACACATGAATACTTTTGGTACTATAAGTTTGGGGCTGCTTTGGCTTAGTTGGTAGAGTTTGTTGTCTCTAAACCAGAATGGTGGGGGGTTCGATCCCCAGCTCCTGCAGCCACATGTCCGATGTGTCCTTGGGCAAGACACTTGACCCAAGTTGCTCCCGCTGCTTCCTCTCTGGCGTATGAATGTGTATGAATGGGATTGGTTGCTTCAGATGGGCAATTTACAAAAGAATCACTGCCATCAGTGTGTGGATGGGTGTGAAAGCGCTTTGAGTAGTCAGAAGACTACAAAAGCGCTATACAAGCTCAAGTACATTTACAATTTTACCATTTCCATTGAAGTATTTTATTCACTAGTTGCTTGTAGGTTGAAATTAAGTATTCATATTATATTGCTTTTGTCAACTTCTTTAACCATTGTATAAAAGTCGTGCAAATGTATTACTGACACTGGACAGAGCAGATGGATGATAAATTCATTTTCATAATGATAAGTTCAACCTTCTATTGTGAAATTGTTACTTAATGCGATATAGAATTGATTGAAAAGCATCGCTTAGGGTCCGCTAAGTGAATTGTAGAAATGTAGTATAACTGTTTATGGATAAAAAGAGAACATGGCCTGTGTTTGTTTGTTTTTGGCGAATCCTGATGTACTAAATTTAAATATGGACATAAGGCGGCCCTGCTAATTTTTCTGCAACATTGTCTAAAATGACATAATACATCTAGAGATATTGAACAGATGGCCAGCAACCTTATAAAACCTTGATGGTATACAAATGCATATCTCTTTACTTCATACAGTACTCTGTCAAATCGGCCAGCTCTAACTGACACATTACCACGTGCACATGCCTCTCGGCAGAATGTGAGTGCATGCATCAGTGCAGATGTGACACTCCAGCCATGAACACATGACACAGCACATACAATCACCAGGAGCCAGAGACTGCAGAGGAGATGGAAGCTGAAGGAGCAGATAAGACACACACAGACATCTGACTCTGATAAGCAGAAAGCAGTATACGATAAATGGAACAGCAGCAGAAATATGTTCCATTATTGAGGAGAGTCTGCTTTTATAGGAAAGTCAGTGGAATAAAAAGAGAGAAAGCAGAGGACAATGATGAGTGGATGGACAGACAGGCGTCACATAAAGCCTCTGATCTGCCCGTACCTGAGTGTAGGTTAATCCTGAATGCGGTAAGGACGGCAGGACCATCTTTAAAGGACAGACACATAAACACAAGTTAGTATTAGACTGTAGGTCAGCTGGGGGCGAAAGTAATTGCTGACAAAGTGCTGCTGAGACACACAAAGAAATCCAATCAAACACTCCTACTTGAAAGGTAGTGCCCGGGGCCCACTCAAAGACTAAACAAAGGAGAACAAACAGTCTAAAAGCACAAGCAAAGCAGCACTTCAAATGTAGAACTCAAAGCAGAGTTTCTACCAGCAGCAAAACATCTAAACAGGCAGATAACCTGAACATTATGCAGTAAGCCGTGTACATCTGATTCAATATTACACCAAATAGTTTTTCACTATGACTCAGGCTGGATGTGTGGGTGTGTGCTGTCTAACAGATCTTAGCCCTTCCACGAGGTTGGCACTCAGCTAGACCGCCCTTCTGCTAGCTCCTCTCAAACACAAAACCTCTACTTTGTACTTTTTTGAAATCACGTCAGAACATGACACCAAACTTCAACAAATGCAGACTGACTGACTAACCACAGCTCTGTATTACAGAAACATAAAACTGTCCTCAGGGGAAGTGAGACAAACCTGCCACAAATTGCCCTACAGCTTCCCTGTAGACAGAGTGGAGTGTAGATGTGTATGAAATATTGACGACATAAAGGTTAGCACTTTGGCCCATATATAGTATATTCTTTGCTCTGGCCCACATGTTATGGGTCAAGCTGAAAGTCATCCACTACAGTGACAGAGAGACAGAGTGCACGTCTTGATTTCAGGGTGCATTAGACGAACGTGGAAGGAACTGAGATATTAAATGGTGGCACACTAGACTGAAATATTCAATTGTATACCAAAACACTTGAGTGAAAAGAGTCCTGGTAGTAAAGCAGGGGTGGTGGTTGTACATGACGGCGTGAAACCACAACATCCTGAGCTATGATCACTGCTGCGTCTTCAATGACAAGCCATCTTCTCTATCTCGCGCTCTCCACATTTCCTGTCAAGTCAACATCCTCTGTACAAAATGAAGGATTCATAAACTACTCCAGGCTAGTGGGGTTTGTCTACATTAAGAGTTCAAACTGCAAGTTCTGGAGTTAATGTTTGATTCAAAATGCAGTATAATCAGTTTCAGTTTATAATCATGGAAACATAAATTGACCAAACAAATTCTTTTTAAGTATATTTAGAGGCTGTTTCAGGCCTTTAATCACATCACATTGTCTTCATTAGCAAAGGAAGTTGCCCAGATGTTCAATAACATCATGTTTTATAACATCTGGAAACAGGATTTATAGCCCAGGACATTTTTTCAGCACTTTGGTTCACTGTAATGATTTTTTGTCACATTTTCACCCTTTAAAAAAAGAAAAAAGCTTAATACAGCTTTACCAATTTAAATAATGCATTTGGCAACTATCATAACTTATGTGCCAACTAACTGCACACATAAATCTTATGGTTCATAGCGATCAGTCTTTTTTTACTTGTGTAATATTTGGTAGTGCGAGTTGTGCTTTGAGTTTGGATCAGACTCTTGTTGTTATGGGAAATAAAACTTTCCCTTCTTATCATCAGGATATTGTAATGCCCAGGGGGAAATATTCTTTGAGTGCCCGGAAAGCTTGTACACTGCACATGTAAATAACTTTAACAGCAGAGGTGGTGTGTGCAGTGTAGTGGGTATAATGTGTCACACACTTAAATGCTAAGGTTTCCATCTTTATTAGTTTGTTGAAGAAGGTGTGTTTATGGAAAGAGGTTTCATAAAAGTATTGCTTGATTCATACGAGATGTCAACATTAGCTCAGTTCAGGAATAAAAAGTAAACAGAGATACTGTACACTCAGGAATATATAGTAGGCTGTTTTATAAACAGCTCTCATGCATTACATATGATCTAATGGCCAAAGAGAGTGTTTGTTTCCCTCATGTTAGTGTTTCAAGTCCGTGAAGCCAAATGCTGGGTAAATAGGCCAAAGATGGGGGAGGCATGTAAAACCCGTTTTTCAAAACTTACACCAAAACATATTTATTAAGAGCATGAAATTTGCAGTGGCATAACAACAAAATAGACTGTGTCCTCTTGTATGTTGAGAGGGAATCTCAGTTGCTGTCCATATCTTATTTAGAATCAAGCCTCCATTAAAGGGGTAATACAATTACAATGCCTGTCTCCATAGCAACTCTCTGGCTCTGTTTCACCTCTAACTGCAGGATGACTTCATTGGCTGGACTGCAAGATATCAAAGTGAGATCTCCTTAAATGGGAGAAAATCCTTTCAAATATGAGCAATGACTCTTAGGAGTACTTCAAACGGGGGTTCTTCGAAATGAATTATTGAATGGCGAATTGCGAAATTGACAAACTAAAAACAAGAGTCAAACTAAAAACAGTGTTAAGGGTTTTTGGGTTAAGAGAAGTGGTTTTCAACCTTTTTGCCTTGAAGTACCTAAACAGCTTCATCAGTTTGATTCAATGGCTTTACACTGTTTCCAACACATCATGTTCAAGATATATAATGTTAATTATCGGCCATGTTGACTGACATTGACACATCGGCAAATAACGTGGCATGTCAATAGCCAATGTTTCTTTGTTGTGATAAATAAATGTAATGCTAGCATCCAGAGGTTTTTTATTGGTAAGATGAAGTCACCTGTTGAACAAAGTCTGACTTGTTTTTATTGTCACACGAGAGAAAATATGAGCACTGTGGAAGTCTTACACCAAAAGAAGACATGAAACAAGAATCTGTATCAGAATCAGCAATCAGCTAAATTGTTCATTCAAACATCGGTATCAGTATGGACCCCTATTTTCCCAATCGGTGCACTTTTAAAATTAATCGCTGTATATAAATGGTTATTACAAGAATTTTTATAACAGAATTTGTCAATGTTGTACAGCCAGTAATCACATTAACTCTTGGTGTGAAGCTGAATGTTGCAGCGTTTATCTTTGCGATAACTAAGGGCGCACTCACACTAGCAAAGTTGTCCACTGTTTGTCCATTTTCTACTTCCTAAATTTTTTCACTGTATCCCTTTTTTTTTTATCTTACCTCTCATTCACCCCTGGTTGGGAATCACTCCTTTAAACATCCATCCCTTTAACTGGGTGGAGAGTGCATTTAATGTCATTCAGTAGAGAGACAACATTCATGACTGATTATAAACCAGTGTTTGGGCAGCTGTGAACAAGGTCAGATACTCTAAACACATCTATAACATGGTGAGGACAGATCCTGTTCTTCTCTGTTTCCTGAGTCACATGTGGCTCTGCACTGATAAGAGTCTGAACAAAACCTCTGCAGAGCAAGACCAGTCTATTAACCTACAGCCTCAATAAAAGGCCTGTTTTACTACAAACTTTCAAAATAAGAGTGAGTAACCACAAAGGGAAATAGTGTGATTGACAGTTAATTATTTTCACTCAGTACAGTATGCTGAAAAATCATTGATTTTCATCAGATGTTGGTATGAATTATCTTTATTTTTTCAATTACCATCATTATATTTATAGTATTTGAAGTTTATTTCGGACATGTAAAATACAAAAATAAAAAAGGAAGAAGAAAAGAAAACTCAAAAAAAGGATATGATGTATATACCTAACTAAAGAAACATAATTCAGTGATGTTCACATTTTGGGAAAAAAAACTTCAAATGCCTTTTAAAGGGTTGAGACTGTTTTCTTGATTTTAGACTAGAGCTATCGTGACACAGATAAAGCTTTAGATGTGTAAACATACTTCATTGGTGTAGATATATATAGGTCATCAATGGTAATAACATGTTTGCTTTTTTTATTGCTTGTTAATTATTTTAGTTACTTTGCATACAGTAATTAATTATGACCACTGCATCATGTAGGCCTACTTACTGTATGTTTGCTTGAGCTTGTTTTTTATGTTGTCGATTCCTCTTTGAAAAGTTTCTGTTGGAAAACACAATGTCTCCTGCTCTTGTTTGAAATGGCACAAACACTGGATTTCTACAGGTTTCTGTACTCCAGCTAATCTAATTGTGAATATTATACATACTGTATGTGTCTGTCTACAATTGAATATTTGCGTAAGGGGTTCAAAATTAAAAATAAAAGAGTAACACAGTGTCAAATAAGGAATTTCAGTCCCGGACCTGAATAAAGTAAAGAGTATATAAACTAGTATACAACTCTGAGGACTTTAAAGAGGTCATATTATGCCCTTTTTGGGGTTCATATATTTAATCTCTGTACCTACTAAAGTATGTTCACAATAGCTAAAGTTTGAAAAAAGTGTCTGTTTTCATGAACTGCCGCTCTATGTACCGAATCACTTCTGACTCTCTCTCTAAGGCTCTGAAGTGCCCACGTTCAGAGTCCCCACGTGTGCCAAGTCTGATCTGATTGGTCGGCCTGTCGGCTCTGCCGTAATTGGTCAATCAATCAGCACGGTTCTCGGAAATGTCACGCCCCTTTTACCATATTGGGAATGCAGCCACTTTGGCTCCGTCCAAGGAGAGCAAAAACATTAGCACCTTAGCACTACTGTGCTAACGCAGGCTATGGCATATCGTGGGCGTGCTACAGAAGTTATTGGGCGTGCAACATGAGCTGCAGGGCTTGCCACAACGAGCCAATGGGCATAGATTAGTGATCTCACACTGACAATGACGTCGGACTGACACATTTTTTTCAAGGGGGGCTAGAACCGAGCGTTACATGTGGCTAATGCTACAGCTAACAGGAGGACGTAGGAGAAGCCGCGTTTCCGCGGACTTTTAATTTTTGCACATAGATGTGCCTAAACATGCACAGGACACTTGGAAAACACACTAAAGAGCATATAAAACCAGAAAAAAACATAATATGGGACCTTTAAATCAGCATGTTGAGTGAAACTTGAGAGCCAGTGCTTTATTGCTGTAATCTCACTAATGTTCTTTCCAAGAAATAAATGTAAAAGCCAGTTTTGTGTGTTTTGCTAATTAGACCTCAATGTGAGCCTCACATTACACAAGAACACTGTCCCTTCACCACAAAAAGTGGTCGTTTCTATTTGTCAACGCTCGATTTACTTTCCAGTGAACTGTAGACGAACAACATTTCAGATATTCAGGACAATACAACCACTTATATCCCTCTTCTTGTTATCAAAAAGCAGTTGACATACTAAGGATCATGTGCTTTTTAGCATAATAGGCTGCATACAGTAAAGCAGTAAAGCAGAGGAGGGCCAAACTACACCCCACACATTCCCAATCACTAATGTACTTGACCTGGGCTGCACATGGACTGTGAGCACACTCACATTTTTTAATGGACAATCTCCTAACATTATTTAACATTATTTATGTCACTCCTGAAATGTGATTTTGAATTCAGCTTATGCTGTTTTTATGTTTGTCTTTTGAGTGTGATTAGATTGTGACGAGAGGATCTCTGAGCTTGTAATGCAAGACAAATGTCAGTGCAAACAGACAATAACTTATCTTATACAATCAGTCATTTTCTGCGCTTTCCTCTGTTAGACAGTAGTGTTGTCTATGCTATTGGAGCTATGGGAGGCATTATGCAGGACTTAAAAGACCACAGTCCTCCAATATTGTGACTGTGGTGAATATTATGGAGCAGCAAGGAAGTTGAAACTTTTAATCTTCAGTCATTTTCTGCTGTCCTTGGTTGCTGTACATGGAAACAACAAATGCAGCAAACCAATTTGTTTCCATCACACTGACTGACAGCACATTTACGACAGTGGGATCTGCCCGCACATTATACATCCAAATGAACAAGACTGACCAGGCAGTCTGACATCACAAACTGAAAGTGGTTTTCTGTTTAGCAAAGAGTCAGTGAGGCCTGACCATTGCAGAGGAGATAATCCCATTAGACGTGGAAACACATTCTGAGCTTGACAGATAGCAGGAGGAAGAAAGATGCATTTGTTTACTTGCTGGTTCACTTCTGATCATTTTGTCCCTTTTTCACTGAAAATACACAAAGACGGAGATGCCTCTTTTCAGTCGGGATAATAATAATAATAACTTTATTTATATAGGACCTTTTAAAAACACAGGTTTACAAAGTGTTTTGACAAACAGCAAGAACAAAGCAAACTAAACCAAACACAGAAGGACATTAACAACAGTAAGAATATAACAGATGAAAAATACTAAGAATAATTAAATATAGCCTGCTACAGTAACTAATGGGATTTTGGTGGATGACGTTTGGTCAGTGTGACTTTAATTAACACAAATCTAACTGTAATCCACCTCTGTCTGGAGAATACCTGCCAGTGTGACTTCACTGGAGCGCCACAGTAGAACATGGTAAGGGACATTCCTGACAGTAGGGCATACAAACAGAAACACACACCAACAGCAAGCCTGTCTGTTTTTATCTATTTCGCCCCTGGTCTGTCATGGGATCACTGCTGTAAAGAGAACTCAGCTTGAATAAACTTATTTGTGTGGACTCGTCCTTCTGCTCTAGCAGTCACTGAGATCTAACATCGTCACTCCTGACTGAGTTAGTCTTAATAATCAAAATCCTCCCCAAACTCTGCCCACTTTCTAGGTGATCTGAGGTCAGTGCAGCACAGTCTCAGTCGGAGAACTGACACTACCAACGACATGGCATTTGAAAAAAACTCAATAACAAACTTTATAAGCAGACATTTAACATGCTATCTGTAAAACAAACGTGGCATGTGCTTTTAAAATTGGTAGGCTTTTTCTAAATGCATTAGAAATTACTTTGAAATCTCTATTTACAAAAGACTGAATATTGACCTTTTCTTTTCTTTTATGATTGACTATAATGATTTAAAATGACCACTATGATTTTCTTACAGGGCCTACAAAATCTTAGGTTTCTAATTCCGCAATGGTTCATTGTGATTGGAAAGTAGTGGGCTGCTTGGCAAAGTTGCTCAAGCTTGAGGAAATAGGCTGCATAGCTAAATTTGTCACATGGAGAGAAAAAAAAAACCTCTCCGCGACCTTAAATCCCTAAAGAGCTTAATGAGCGCATGTTTCATTACCTCCTGTCTGTGAATCTGTCGCGCTCTGCAGCTCGATCAAAGTTTCATCCTTCGCCTTTCCCGTTATTCTCCTCATAGCAGCTCGCTGTTAAGATGAAGGCTTCACCTTCTCAGGACACTGGAGGAGGAGGAGGAGGAGGAGGCGCGGTGCGTGAGGATGCCGCTGAGATCCAGACACGTCGATGAAGAGTCCACCATGGAAGTAAAAAAGGCGATCACACACTGAAATCACTGAGTCCAGTTTGGATTTCTGTGTGAAACATCGGTCATATTTACATTATAACGGATCCTCACTGTGACTGTACCCTGCAAGGCTCCCTGGCGCTACCCGAGAACGCAAGGCACACATAAAGGGGAGGGGCATCGCTTTTTCGTCGGCAAAATGGTGTGCACGCTGTAATTATGAGCGTGAGAGAAGGAGAGCTGAAGAAAGGGACAGAGAAACTGTCGATGTCGAAGCCTATCGAGCATATTCTGAAATAAACTTCTAGGCTACGTGTAGAGTTTGAGGACATTTTAGTTTGGTTGAACCGGAGCTAGACACAACGAGTGTCTGTGTGGTTACCTGTGTGGTCTCCTGCGGGGAAACACCGTAAACACGAGGTGATAAGGTCTTCAATACTGCGAGGACACCTTGTGGCCGATTCCGGGAACGCACAAAAAGATTGAAAGAAAAAACAAAATACTGTAGTTTAAGAAGTTTCTTTGAAAAAAAAAAGTATTTTAATATTAGGCTATATATTTAAGGAATTTTTTTACAGTTAATGCGTGAACGCCCGATGTTTTATATTCTTTGTGAATGAGAATTTTAACTGTACTAATTATATAGATATTAAAGTTGTATCAAATAGTTTTTCTCCTCCAGCTGGATTACTGCATTTACTTCAGTCAGTATTGTCCTGCAATAGGAAACTTACCTTTCATCAAGGCAAGACACGACACACTAAAACATCTAAATATATGCTGCTGTTGTCGTGGAAACTGCCATAAGTGCTGATTACTTGCTGGAAGCAAGGGGGGAGGGGGGCATTTGCATTAGGTAATAGACCTCCTTTTTCTCTTTTTGGTTTAAGGATAGGGCAGTGGATAGTCAGAAACAACGGGAGGGGGGGCTAGCATGCAGTGATGGCTCAGTTGGTAGAGTTGTTGCCTCTCAATCGGAAGGTCAAGGGTTCAAGTGTCTTCGGGCAAGACACTTAATCCTGCATTGCTTCAGTGGTGGTGTATGAATGGATTAGTGTTGTACTTTCTGATGACCATCACTTAAAAGCATCCGCTGAGTGAATTGTAACATTGTGTGATTACACAAAGTAATGTACATGTTTAGTCTCTCCCGTAAGAGGTCCGTGTGGTTGGTTGGAGTGCTCAGAGAATATGGCAGACCAAACCACAAAATGCAACCTCAAACAAAGATCAATGAGTGTTTACTACATTTTAAAAGAGCTTCTTTATTTTTTTTGTCAACATTTTCATCGTTTGCAAAGCTGAACAGCAAAACCACACTTCACCAATTACCAGAGGTTAATGGCATCACTGGCATCTCCAGTTCAATATGCTCCTCTCAGCAGATTAAATGTAGGTCTTTTCCAATTATTACTATAATTGGTGTACACTGTCTTCTTCTAACTAATACTAAATCTCAATTTGTCATTTAATGGAGCACCTGGCCTCAAATCCCATACTCCCTGAATAATAACCTGGTAGAGTTTGATGTCCTGCTGCTGTGGACCCGCCTGATTCTTACTGCTACAATTATTAATATCAGCTTTACGTCTATTATCATTATTATAACTGTTAAAGTGAATCTTAGAGCTGCTCAACTTTATTGATATAACCGTTCCTCCCCATTTCATTATTATTAGAGTTTCTCATGTTAATATTAGACTGATCAATCAATTATCATACTTCGCTGTTTCTGCTAATATACTTTTACCATTATTACTCTTTGTAATCTATTTCACTCAATCATGTTCCGTTTCTCTCTTTCTGCTTCTCGCTCTACCATCTCAACACTTAAACAGTTTCGGCAGATTGGTTCAACGAGAGTGGTTCTGCTCGAGGTTTCTGTCTCTTACAGTTTTTCCTTGCACTGTAAATTTGCTAAATGTTGCTTATAGTGCATTGCTCATGGAGGACTAATGTTCGTTCTTTATAAATAATATAACAAAGATTCATGTTTACACCTGTTCATTTTGTAAAGTGTCTTGAGATAACATTTGTTATGACTTGGCGTTATACAAATAAAGAATTATCTGTAGTAGTGAATTTTGTAAAAATGCATGTTAAATCTCTCTATTCATCTCAAGCTTCAACACCAGAAGACATATTCACATCCTTTAATAGAGGGAAAGAAATTATGTAAAAATGTGTGTCACATGTCAAATAATTTAAACACTACGTAAGTTAAATACTGGTGAATAATGAGAAGAAAGAGAAAGAAAAAGAAGAAGAATGTTTCACAAAAGGCACAAGTAAAGAACAAATTAAATATGGTTTCAGGTTCAACTTTACAAAATCTACATTGATTATCAACATCAACAAATCTTAAGATATACACTTTTGATGGATAAATGTTATGCATTATTTTCCGATGTAATTCTCTGACTTTGTGATACAAAATTAAAAGGGAATAAGCCAAGCTTTCTGCCAGTAAATGTCGACTACATGAGAGTTCTAAAAGGTTTTTCCTTGTGGTGATATTTTTCTGATAATGTAAAGACATCTTGTAATGAGTTTGTTGGTGCACCTGTTACTTGTTATGTCAATGCCATTTATAAAAAAGACTGCCTAGAGCTCTAGGGATCTTGCTCTTCATAGCCTCTCATTCATTCTATTATACTGTTTGGTGCTGATTTTTTTGCTTTCTTTAAACGTGACAGAAAATAACTTTTCTTTGAGAAAAGTTTCATAGTTAAGAATTTGACCCTTTGAATTAAAAATATCCTTTATAAAGATGATGTTCCTATCAACACAACTTTGCCAGTATATATGAACTACTATTGTAATATCTGAGGTGCTATGGTATGTACCATGTATACCATAGTAATATATGTGAGGTACCGCGGTAAACTTTCTTATGGTGTGTCTTTAACACTGTTAGTACGTATTTTCATGAATTCATTCATCTTGATAATTTTGTGGATATATCTTTAAATTGTGACAACCATTTAAGAGTAATTCTTCTTTTAGGTTTGTGAAGCTGTAATACATATGTGTAAGAGACCTCATAGCAGCAAAGTTATATTTGGATTGGAGCCAAGTGTCTGTTGTGAGCTGAAAATGAAATGTGACTCTAAGACTGAAGAAATGTGTACGTCTGATATTTACGAGTCAAGGTGATGTCTTCTTTCTAGCCTTTTAGAGATGTAACGAAGCAGCCAGGAATTTGTGGGCTGTACCTTCTAGCAGAATATAACCACTGGAGTTGTCCCTCAGGTTTGGAAGTCAGCACACATCGTCCCTCTGCATAAGGGCGGCGACAAAAACAAACTCAACAACTACCGGCCAATCTCCAAACTGTCCAGCCTCTCTAAAATCCTGGAGACATTAGTTAACAATCAACTAAAATCATTCCTTTCAAGAAATTCTGTATTAAGTCCTCACCAGTCTGGGTTCAGAAAAAAACACAGCACCACATCAGCAATTACCTTTGTCATAAATAATATTGTATATGCTGTTGATCAAGGGAAATACTGTGCTGCCCTCTTTGTTGATCTAACTAAAGCGTTTGACACTGTTGATCACACCATACTCCTGCAGAGGCTACATGATGTTGGTTTTGACAACTCCTCATTTAAATGGTTCCAAAATTATCTGTCTAATAGATTGCAATGTGTGACTGTACAATCTGATCGCTCTGAATACTTACCACTATCAAAAGGGGTTCCACAAGGATCTGTATTGGGTCCTGTGCTGTTCATGATCTATATTAATAATATTGCTTCTGTATTTACAAATTGTAAGGCCCATCTCTACGCTGACGACACAGTTTTGTATTGTTTTGCTGAGACTGCACATTTAGCAATGGAAACTTTACAAGAAGCACTTCACAAATTACAAAATGCACTCCTTGATTTAAAATTATTACTGAATGCAGACAAAACTAAATACATGCTCTTTACACAAGCCAGAAATACCACAGACAATGACTTGCATATAACAACTCTGGAAGGTCACAATATTGAAAGAGTAGCCCATTATAAATATCTTGGCATCTGGTTGGATCAATCCCTTTCATTTGAATTTCACATTGATACATCATCCACTAAACTACAACAGAAAATTGGATACTTGTACAGAAACAGGAAGTGAACTTCCCCCTTAGTGAGTAGAAAGTGAATAATTGAACCCATCTTCCTATCTGTTCTGGACTATGGGATGTCATTAATAGACATGCTTCTGCCTCCACCCTAAAATCATTAGACACAGTTTATCACTCCACCCTCAGATTTATCACTGACAAATATTCCACTCATCATTGCATCCTGTAAGACAAAGTTGGTTGGCCTTCACTAACAGTTAGACATGAACGGCATTGGCTGCTATTTATTTATAAATCACTTGCGGGTAATCTACCAGCATACATCACTTCTTTATTAATCTGGGCTGATAATCAGTATCAGACTTGATCAAGTGACTGGCTGATGTTAACGGTTCCACATGTAAAAACGAACTTTGGGAAAACATCCTTTACCTATTGTGCTGCACACACCTGGAACACAATACAAAACACATTAAAACTCAATACAATGGTTACCATGGGTCAATTCAAAAACTTGATCACAGCTCACTGTATGAGCGAACTGAGTGTAAATGTTATTAACTGTAGTTACCTGCTTACTGCTTACTCTTCTGGTCTTATAATCTATGCATTTTGTCTTTGTTGTTTTTTGTCTTTTTTTTTGTCTCTTATTCGTTTTAATTGTACTCTCGACATCATTGTAAATGAGGGCTTGCCCTCAATGATTTCTCAAGAATAAATAAAGGTAAAATAAAATCAAATAAATAAATAATAATAATAAGCAACACTGTGAAGATGAAGACTTTGCCACTTTGCCAATGATTGTGAGATCTTGGTCAGCATGGCTCAGCGATGGTCTGCACTTTGTCAGCCATATGTGTTGTGTTTCTATATTGTCGGACCATGGCTGAATAAATCTAAGATGATCCACAGTCTGTTTCATGGTTACATCATTGTCCAGCTACTACAAAAATAACCCCCACCTAACAAACACTAATGCATCTTGCAATGCAGACTATTGATGATACAGCCTAATATATATTTGCTATATATTATATCTTAGTATGGATCCTTCTGAGGCTTTTAGTTCTGGCATGCCAGTTAGCTGACTTGAAGAACCAGA